GGTTAAACGGGTAAACGATTTGAAAAATGCTTGCGTTACGGTCTTAACAAGCCATCTACAGTATTCTAGCATTGACTTGATATAAAGTCAATGATTCTAGCAAATTACTACATAAAAACCAAATGAAAAGAACATTTTTGAATTTGGACCTTTGACCATAGCAAAACTAACATATAATTTATGAAATGTGAAAAGTTGTATAGCATTAAATACTATTCTGTAATATTAATAATTGTTCGGCAAATCCTCATTTTAATGGCTCGGTTGAAAATGGAATCTGTATTTTGTGAAACAGTAATTTGGTAACAATCCGGTAATTTCAAAAGTTGATAACAGTAGCCTATCCTATTTAAATACTGTTATTTGATTGCCAAGCCACGGACTATACATACATCCAGTTACAACCGTAATAAGTAAATAATTAATTACCTGGGCTAATATAAGTGCACTTTTATTCACGGTATGGATAATTGGCTAGGCCTGTCCAGAAGTAGGCTACGAATTTCTAATCATATTATCTACATTGTATATTTAAGACATGTCTTCCCTTCTTATTGTTATTCTGTTTTCACTTAAATCAGCTGAATGCGGTGTTTACTTATTACTTATGTTTAGGCCTACATTTCAGCCATCTTATTTTGTTGTTCAATAAGTAAGTCTTTTTGAATTTTTTACATTTTTACACATTGAAATATATAGTTGATAATTCAGTTCATTTTAGTGTTTTAAAGGTGTGTTACATTTGAGTCTCACATTAAAATAGCCCTAAGCTTTTCGTAGGCCTATGTTTTATCTTTGACTATCAAAACAACTTACAGACATTCCATCCCCATGTTAAATTTGTACCAAGCCTTTTTCATCAAAATCTTCTGTATCCAATGGCCATTATTAAGAACAATATTAAAAATGTTGTCTCTAAATCGTCCTAATAATAGTAGAAGACGTACATTCTAGTTACATTACAATAATATCCTCCATCATATCAAGAATACTTGGTATTAACAATCATAAATTATTTCCAGCAAAGAACGCTGAGCTTAACCGATTGCAAGGGTTGAAATGAAGACCAATGTTTATGTTGCACAGTTGAATTTAAATGTCAAATTTCCCCTCCTGTTGTTATACTTTAATACTAGTTTTTTTTAATAATTACGTTTTTTTTATACTTCAATACTTTAACCGATTGTAAGGGTGAAAAATGAAGCCCAATGTTTTTGTTGTGGGCTACAGTTAAATTTGGATGTTAAATTTCCGTTCTCTTTTTTATACTTTAATGCCCTTTTTGGATGTTAATATCAGATTCCAACTACTGTAATATTTTCCTGGTCAAAACTACCATAATGCACTTCTGGAAGAGGTATCTGAATAACAAGATGTAGTAAAACAAATTTGAATTATTATAATTTTAACCAATGAAACCATTAGTACATCTATTGAGTTTTTACATTTAGTTACTTATACAAATATCAAATCACGTTTTTCCGCTCAACTGGCTTTCACCTCTCTGAAAGCAACCCTAGTAATAATATGTATTTTAATTTAAGTACCGTACTTTAATTGATTCGGTTATATGTTTCCCTCATATAACATTTGAACATGGATTGAAACATTAGATGTCTTTGGAATACTCTGAGAGTGAGAAGCAAAACATAACTTTCAGCAATGTTGCATCGAAATTTACCTCTTTCTTGCCTATTAAATCAAAATTCTAAATTAACAACAGAAAATAAATTGCTTTTATATAAAACCATTCTAAAACCAGTGTGGACGTATGGTATCCAACTGTGGGGGACATCCAGTGAATCCAATTTGAACATCATCCAAAGATTCCAATCTAAAGTTCTTAGACACATTCTTCAGGCACCATGGTTCGTTAACAACGAAGTGCTCCATAGAGACAGTCGAACCCCAACGATCAAAGAAGAAATTTCAAGGTTAAGTGCCAAATACTTAAAGAAATTAGAGTACCATACCAACTACCTCGCTTTGAATTTGTTGAACAACAGCAACTGTATACATAGATTGAAAAGATGCCATGTTTTGGACCTAAGTAGTCGTTTTTAGAGATTTATGGACTTTAAACTTTGTGCCAATATGCAAAGTTTGTTTGTTAGCTTTATTGTTGGATAAGGACTAACTACTGTGTTTAAATTTTATCACATTTGCTTATTGTTCTATTTTTTTTGAACAGATTGTAAATTAAATAAAATGATAAAAAAAATAATAAAAAAAATAATAATAATTACCTCTACTGAGTGATTCAGAAATGTAATTGTAAAATTTTTGTCAACATGACTAGAATGTTAATAAAACAGATGTCAGCACGAAATAGTTTGTAAGATAAAAAATTGCAGCATAGGACAACTTATATAGTGTTCTAACCTAAAACATTGTTATTGTTTCAATGTAAAAATTCAATTGATACAAAGTAACTACGGTACGTTACCAATTTATGTTTGTAAACAAAAATAAATTTTTTAATGGTGGCATAAAAACAATTTAAATAATTATTTACAACACAAATTATTTTTAATGTAAAACATTGTTCACCACTCGGAGCAAAAGTATATTATTTATGGTACTTAAATTGTTTTATAGTACGTGGCAGTACAGTATTATTAGTTTATTAGTTGCTTGTTGCACTGTTCTACACACTGCTCAAGCGCTACAACTCATTAAGTAGCATCCTGTACACACACTGTTGATATATACTGAATTGTGGCATGGTGCCACTATTTAGAGTGTAAGCTGGCGCGAGAATTGGCAACGTAGCATTAGGAAAGTTATAGTTCCGGCAGACGGCGCGAGGCGCGCTAGCTACCTGTATGGTTTCGTGTTCCACAATTCGGCGTGTACCTGCGCTACTTAAACTCCCATCAACGAGTTCAAAAATACTCAATTGTGGCATGTGATGTTTAAACGACGTAATAATGCTGGAAAACCTCAAAAATGATCGAATTAGCTGTGGCACCCTGAAAAAGGTGCCACAATTTTTGAAGGTGCCACAGTACGGCCGTGTGCCTGTGAAGGATGCCACTATTCGGTGAATACAGACACACACACACACACACTCACACACACACACACACATCACTTCGAAAACCACTTTTTTGGGTCCAGGGGGACCCAAAACGAATATATCCACTCAAAACTCAAACTCGAAAATTTTGACGAAAACAATACTTTCTCCATATACTATGGTATAGGGGGAGAAAGTAAAAAACATTGTAAATAGTGTATATTAGTTTGACACAGTCCATCAAGAAATTCTGGGTCATCGACGTTGTAGGAGGTATTAAGGTAGAATAGTAAATTTAACGATTTAAATTTAGAGATGCATATATTATATATTTCTGGATATTTAAGGTAAATTTAATATTGTATAAAAATTTTCCTAACTTAGTATAGGAAGATATCGAAGAAGTATCGAAGATCCTGGAGAAGATTGTCTTGCAGAGGCTATTAGAACATCTTTTCTCTAATCAACTCTTGACAGAGAGACAACATGGTTTCGTCAAGGGAAAATCCACAACCACGGCACTTATTGACTTCGTAGAGTCCGTCATTGATGATATAGACAGTGGTAACAACGTTGTCGGCATTTTTGTTGACATGAGTAAGGCGTTTGACTGCCTGAGCCATGACTTGATCATCTCAAAGCTTAGCTCCTTGGGAGTATGTGGAACGGCTCTTGGTTGGTTTACTCAGTATCTGAAGGGTCGAACGCAGCTAGTCGAACTCAGCCACTCCAGGAATAGGACTATCACCACCGTTAGATCTGAAGTACGCCCAGTGTCCAGAGGAGTTCCACAGGGATCCGTCCTGGGACCGGTACTTTATATCTTATCGACGAACGACCTTCCAGATACCCCCGAACCCTTCAGTAAAGCTATAATGTATGCGGATGACACTGTCTTGCTTTCTTCAAACTCACCCATCAACAACGTAGAAGTCAATGCCTACATTGGTTTGAGCCTAGCTGCGGAGTACTGCGACAATCATGACCTTGTTTTCAACGCCTCAAAAACCAAGCTAGTTTCATTTAGCAACAGGAAAAATTTCGTCTGCTGTATTCCCGACATTGACTCTGTTAGCTCTGTAAGACATCTAGGTGTCATCATTGACGAACATCTCGCTTGGGACGAACACATTGAAGCACTCTGCCATAAGCTAAGCACCGCAATTTTTGCACTGAGAAGAACAATGGCTGTGAGCACAGAAGAGGCGGCACTAACAGCATACTATGCCCTTCTTGAGAGTATTCTCTGTTATGGCATTGTGGTGTGGGGTGGATCGTCGGCACAGAACCTTAACAGAGTTCTAATCATGCAAAAGAGGGCTGTTCGAACCCTGACTGGCATTGAGACAACAGATAGTTGCAGACCAGAGTTTAGGAGGTTAAAAATCCTGACCGTAGTCAACCTCTTCATACTACGGACTCTTACCATTGTCGACTCTTCCAGGACCTGTCGTCATCAGGAGGTGCACTCATATAACACAAGACGAAGAAATGATTACAACCTTCCTGCTCACAACACAAGGCTTTATGAAGAGAAACCCTCATACATGCGTGCCAAGTTTTTTAACGTCCTTCCCGTCCACTTGAAGTCTCTTCAACCCAGAAAACTGAAGAAAGAACTAAAGTGCTGGCTGTTACATAGACCATTTTATAGCCTGAATGAGTATTTGTCTTGGCAAGAACTTGAATAAATCATCACTGCAAGAACTCTGATCAGCTATTTTTTATTCTTAAAAAATAACAATTTGTATTGACTTTTATATAGCAACTGCACAATTCTGTATTGACGCCCTTTCAATCTTAAAGATTGTAAATAAAGTATTCTTGTATCTTGTATCTTGTATCTTGTATAGTAAGGTGTCCTTGTACCATTCTTTTAGTGGCTTTGCTCAAGCTGAAAGCCAACTTAACGGATGTCGCTTACTGCACCGGTCTGTGATGGCAGCTACGTCACCATAGTTTGTCTGTGGAATTGCTGTTGTTGCTACGTGTAAGGAAACGGTATAGTGGGATTGGGGGATTGGGCAGTGTTGTGATTAGAATTTCTCTTTTACGTCGGACTCGGAGTGGTCGTCGTGTCTAATTGTGCATGTAGGACTTTTGACAGTTTTATTAAATTTAGGCTAATAACGTTACATCTGTAAGGACTGGCTATTTCTGCGAAACACCCCCGCGCTCAAAATGGGAAGTAAGTATTGCAGTTTATTTGACGATGGCTAAAAATAGGTATTTTGAACCAACTCAGTTCAGTATGGGAGTTCATACGGATTAGTTATATTAAGTTAACTTAGTTGTAAAACTCAGTAATCATGGGTCTATTTTTTTTAGTCGTAATTGCCCTGATCTGCATACTGTAGCCTACTTAACTTTTCAAAATTATAGCCTAGCCTAGCTGTCTTACACTAACCTGGGTTGTGGTAGGACAATAGGCCATTAGAAATTCATCTTCATAGGCATAACGGTACTTCAGTATTAAACGGAGGCCACATTTTGTCAGCGCGCTGCGGCGGTTATGTTAGGTTGGGTTATCGTAAATATTATGTGTGTAGGACTTTCCTCGCTTCGTTATGAATCGAACGATACTTTCTATTATGATAACCCAACCTAACATAACCGCCGCAGCGCGCTGACAAAATGTGGCCTCCGTTTAATACTGAAGTACCGGCATAACTTACCTAGGCACTGTAGCTTAACTTACTAGCCTATCTCAAAGGACTTTATTTATTACTGTAGCCTACTGTCTGTGGCATTCTTGCTCAATATAACCTAGGCTTAGGCCTTCTCTGGCTGCTCTTCTCTGTAGTCTCGAAAACCAGAAAATAGTCAACCTAGGCCACAAGGCTATTTTAAATTTGCAAGAGGTGTGATGCTTGTTTATAAATTTACTTATGGCCACTAGCCTACCGTTAGATCAGACGATTTCTCAACTTACGCTAGACGCTTTTCGAAGTCCAGCATAGACTAATAAGTTACCAGCAGTGTCTTAAACCACTAAAATCCACTGACTTTCTCCTTTATTTTAAGTATAAGCCTTAAGCCGCGTTAACACAGGAGTTTCAAACAAAAAGTTGCAAACTTTAAGTAAAAATAAACTTAATTTAACTTTAATTGCAAACAGCAGTTGCAAACAGTAGTTTCAATTAAATGTTTGCAATTTTTATTTCATGATTTGTTTTCATGTTTCATGAAATTGTTTGAAATAATTTCTACCTTGATTATGACTGGCCTCGTCCTGGTTCCTCGGATCAGTCCTTCCGAGGATTTCAAGTGTCTAGTTATTACAACGCTGTGTCGTGTTGTCTAGGCCGAGACAATGCTGGGTGAACATCAGTAATTGTATAAATCATCAAATTAAAATTATTATTCATTTTAGCGAATTTCCCTATAGGGAAGTAGCTATTACCGTAGGTGGCACGGTAAGACCTAGACCCGGGACCGATTTACTTTTTCATTTTGATGTCCCCAGAGGCCAAAAACACTATTCGGTAATTATGTCGACCTCCAGTCAACGCTCTAAAAATTATTAATTTTTTTTCAATCTGTTCGTTTTTTAGTGCTGATTCCAAAAAATGATATTCATTTTTTGCGGAAACGTCCCGTTTTCCCGGAAAATGGGAAAAACGGGAAAAATAGTTTTTTGCCTAAAACCCATGTTGTGGGTACTCAAATTGTGCGGAATTTCCTCCTGAACAAGAATATGTAATTCGTATTACGATCGGACCACTATTAAGTAAAATATCACCGGAAAAGCGGCCGCTGGCTACTCCCCTCAAAACACAAAATTTTCCAATTTCTCTTTAGACCTTTTTAAAGAGCTTAAAAAAACAAATAATTTAGTATATAAAAGTATTTTTGTTCGATTATAAGTAACGGAGAAAATTAAAAAAATTGTAAATTTAAAATTCCCATGTTATTCTTATGGAGAATATTGTCAAATGTTGTAGTTTGCTTGTTTATGAATATATTTTGATCAAACTTGGCAAATTTATTTATTTTGTACCGTACTCCTTATCAATATACCACTATCAATATTTTACTCAAAAACACAATTTATTAGTTTCCTTGTAGCAGCAAACCTAGGTACTCGTTAAACCCAATGTTGATCAAAATATATTTAACTGAAAATCAATTCAGACAAATGGAAATTCGCTTAGTCGGCAGGTTTGCTGCGGCGGGGGTATTTAAAGATTACAAGGACCTAATTATAACCCTTTTAATTCACATGAGACGTTGTTATTTTAAAATTAGACGACCTTGTCATTTGAGGTTAGTGTTAATTCATTGATCCAGTCAAACAGCATTTTTCCGATTAATTTAACACTGCGTCGAGACACAGGGTCGCAGTGAGTGAGAGTGGAGGTGGTAGCGTAGGGGATGGCGGAGAAATGTTTCTGTTTCGTGTTTCAACGGCTCATTTTGACCGAAACTAGTGTTGCAAACAGAGAGGTTGCAACTCCCTTTGATCATTACCGACTTAAAGTGGAAGCAAAAATTTCTGTTGCAAACACTGAAAAACTGTTTGCAACAGCAAAATGTTTTGTCTAAAAATGTGCGCTTTTAGAGATGTTTGCAATTTCTGTTTGTAACTCGTGTTTCTAACTCCGGTGTAAACGCGGCTTTACCGTACTTACCTAGGCCTCCCATTTATTTATTTATACGGTACCATTAGGGAACTTAGTTGAACACTAACTTTGTATTTAGGCTAAGTTACCACTTGCCTATTCAATATAGGTAATTAACTTAACTTACTGTAGATAGAGTTTAGCATCTAGGCTTAACTTACCAATCCCTTATGTTTATCTGAAACCAAACGTTCTTGTTAAGCTCTTTCAAACGATAAGGTAACTTAGGCCTATTCATTTATCAAGACTGCAAAATTGTCTTTTAGGCATATAGGCCTACCTACATGTAAATATTTCACATTATGTAAGCCTAACAAACAATCAGGCCCTAAAGGGAAAAAGGCAAATACTGTATTTACCTTAGGCCTTCTTACACAGGGATATTATGTAATTTTTATGTATGTCAACTTACTTAGCATATTTTTCACGCTGAATCCAAAAGTGCAATCAGTTTTTGTCGGAGAGATTCCTAAGTAGCCGTAGTGGCCGTAAAACGAAGGTTAAGATTACAAACCTAAGGGTAGCCTAATTGAGCGGTACTGAAGGTAATTGTAATGTGGTCTGGACGGGGTCCGTACTGAGTGAGGAGTGAGGACTAGAGTGAGAAGAGCAAACAGCTGTTTATACTTGATCTAATGCGGAATGAAATCAAATCAATTTGTTCTGAAACCAAATAATCAGTTCTTATTTAGGCATATGTAAGGAAGGTAGGTCAGGTTTTATGCGGATTCGTGACTGTATTAAGTGTTTTGAAGTGAGGTTAGATTAGAAAGGTCAAGGTTAGGTTATAATGAACCAACTATTAATTTATGCTACCGGGTACTTCCAGACTGTTTTTGCAAAATTAAATATAGGCCTACCTTGTGAGTGAAACACAATGAAATAACGATATCAAAAATGTGCAAGCATTTAAATTAATGAGTCGGTTCATTAAAACCTACCTTACCCTTTACCTTCCTAAATAATCTAACCTCACTTCATAACACTTAATAGGCTACAGTCATGAATCTGCATAAAAACCGACCTACCTTCCTCACATGCCTTTTCTGACATGCCTTTTCTGACTTGAAATGTGATTTAAACATTGATATTAAGATTGGGTTAGGTTAGATTACATTATGTAACCTCAATTTATTAGCTGCTGATAGGCCTACATAAAATTATGCACTGTGGCACAATGGGATTACATACTATGGGATTATAGACTATGGCACGTTCATTAACCAATGTTGAGGATTGGAATGAGGATGATCATGAAGGCAGTGGCCTAGCTCTAGCTTCTATTATGTAGGCCTACTGATATTTTACGTGAACGAATTCTATTTTATTTTTATAATTTATGTTGATGTGATCAATAGTTTATGTATTGTAAGTTAATTGATTTATTGTATTTTCTAAACAGCACCAAAGTCCATTTTCTCTTAAAAATCTAGTCATTGCATATTGTAACTCTGATTTTACTCTCATGGCGTCGTGTGTGGTTTTGTCTGTTTAGTATCGAATCTAAACAACTGACAGATGTTAAACCACTCCTCAAACCCTTCACCCCTATGAGTGTTAGTCGCCACTAGAACTTGGACTCGTCCATACCACAAATATGTTAAAAAATCAACAAAACTGTAGCTAAATATTAATTATTTAACTGTACGGCCAATTAGGAATCTCTCCGACAAAAACTGATTGCATTTTTGGATTCAGGGTGAAAAATACTGTAAGTAGATATATCAAAATTACATAGGCCCTAATATCCCAGTGTAAGTACAGTAAATAATTAGGCTACCGAGAAAAATTATGTAGGCTACCGGTGAGAAAATAGATTCGTTCAAGATGAATGAAGCTTGATGATGACACAGACTGTATTTTTGTGTTCCAGTTAAATTCTTGGAGGTTATAAAACCATTCTGCAGCATACTACCAGAAATCGCAAAACCTGAAAGGAAGGTAAGAGAATAAAAGTCCTACAATAGGTACATACTTTCCTCTTGGTTTACTTTGAATTGTCCAGCTTTAACCCTCCAAGTGTCCATAGTAATGGTTTTAATGTTGGCCCATTTATTGCGCAATCACAGGGTTTTATTAAAATGTATTAAAATGTTTTATTAAAATGCATAACCTATCTTCTAGAAACTTAAAAACACTCTAAAGTTTACGGTTTTTGTTAAGTTTATTTATATAATTTTGTTTGGAAAATCATGGTCTTCAATGTAAGGGTAAAACATTCCAAAAAATATTGTCAACACTATTTTTGGCTTAAAAAATTTCTCAAAAATTATAAAATTAAAAAAAAATTTAGGTTTGCGCTCAATAATTTTTTTATAATCTATACCTAGTTTTACAAATATTTGAAACTAGCCACTTTGTTCTAGATTTTATGAGGATTCTAAAAATATAATAATAGAAGGAAGTTTTAATTTGCAATTGGGTGAAAAACAGATTATGTACATTTAGCGGGCTAAGAATGCATAACCTACTTCTTCAGGATCATCAACCAGCCCTTCAAAATCACTTAATCTTCTTATAATGCACTACGTATAATCACTACTTTTTATTTTTAACACTGAAACATTGATAAACACAACAAAACACATCAGTCATCGATGTGAGCTTAACCGCACGTCATCTGTCTGCTACAATATGATCGGAACTAAAATTAACCCTCCGAGTGTCATGCGTCGCTGCAGCGACTCACGAACACTGTTTACGGCGAAGGCTCTATGACTGACAAAATCGGATTGAACTGGATCTAGTTAGGTATCGTTCTTTTCGTTAGATTCTAAGCTTTCTCCAGAGGTCTGTCTCTAAGCGCATTATGTTCTCCGAGCTGATCGTAATTGTAGCAGACAGCTGATGTGCGTATTTGTAAACAGGTTAGTTAACCTCGGACCGATGACTGATGTGTTTTATTATGTTTATCATTGTTTTAGTGTTAAAAATCAAAAGTAGTGATATACGTGGTGCATTATAAGAAGATTTAAGTGATTTTGAAGGGCTGGTTGATGATCCTGTAGAAGTAGGTAGTGATATTGATGTAAATTACCAGCCAGATTCCTAGCTATGGTTAGGCTATGCATTCTTAGTTAAACACTATGTACTGAAATCTGTTTTTTGCCCATAACTTATTTATTTGCAAATCTACTTCCTTATATTATTATATATTTGTAATCCTCATAAAATTTAGAACAAAGTGGCTATTTTCAAATATTTATAGGCCTATAATTTATACAATTTCATTGAGCGCGAACTTATTTTTTTTCAATTTTTCCAAAATAATTTTTATTTTTACCTAAAAAATTTTTTTTGAAACAAACATTCCTTAGGTTTTATGTATGATATTGAAGCCCATGATTTTCCAAACAAAGTGGTATAAGTTATAGAACAGTAGAATTAACATTGTTTTAAGCTTTTCAGATCCGTTTTAATAAAACCTTGCAAATGCGCCAAAAATAGGCGGACATTAAGGCCTAAACTATGGACACTCGGAGGGTTAAAAGCGTCTAGAAACAGACATCAGGAGAAAGCTTTGAATCTGCCGAAGAAAAAAAACTAAGCCTACCTATCTCGATCCAGTTCAATCTGATTCAGTCAGTCCCAGAGCCTTCGGTGTTCAAACAATGTTTGTGAGTCGCAAAAGCGACGCATCACACCACAGCAGGTGTGATGTGCGACGCTTAACACTCGGAGGGTTAAATTAAGTTAAGTCACCTTAACTATTAAATTCAATGATAATTGACTGACAAAATAAAATAATAATTTCATCATAGGCCTAACTTATGGCAGTCACAAATGTCTTGTGTCATAAGCCCATACCTTGGCCCAGGTGATGCTGTAATTTTTAAAATAAAAGAGTTGTAAACATTGTGAAATTAACCAATGTACTACTACTACTGTCATTACTAGCACCCTAAAGCTAACTACCTTAACCAAGAACTACCACAACTTGCAGCTAAAAATGTGCTCATTATAAATGTGCACTCCCTACAATACGGTAATGAGTAAATAATATTGTATTAAGGCTGTATAAGTTATTAAGCTTTAAATTATTGGAAGGTGTAAATGTTTTTAACACACAATTTGCTAACATTGCAAATTACAAACTTAAGTTGTTAGTCTCATGGAAGATAAATCAATCTTAGACCTACTTAAACTCGATGTAGTAACTGGAAACGTTTTATGCACACATCAGCTGGACAATCATTGCCAACCAGTTTTTTTTATCTTAGACTGATTTAACTCATTACAACATTACTTAGACTGTTCTTGTAAGTATCCACATTTCCTGATCCTAGTCTTTAAAGACCTCTTGGGATAATCCAAAAACCATATTTATTTTTTTCAGATCCAGTTTAGAGAAAAGGTGTTATGGACGGCAATCACCCTCTTCATATTCTTAGTATGCTGTCAAGTAAGTTGAAAACTGTTTTTTATGGTCTCACTCAAATTATAGGCTCGACATTCTTCTAGTAGGTTAGATAAGAATGGGATATATTCTCACATCAGCTTACCTGAAGTTTCAATTTGTCAGTAGGCCTACCATATAACTCCATATACAGGGTGTCCCGGAACTCTCTACCAATATTTTAGGGCATTGTTCCTGGGTAAGAAACATATCTAAATATCATATTTAAATTGTCCGGAAGTCCTTATTTACTCAGATAGCCGCCATTTTGTTTTTTTCACTTATTAATTTTTTTCTGAAGATTGGTTAAACATACGAAGTTGAAACTTTGCACAAACATTTATGACAACTAGACAAAGCTACAAAAAAATTATGACGATTTTTCAAATTCATAAAACAAAATGGCGGCTGATTAAAATTTTGTTTCTTAAATTTCTCGAAAACCGTTGATTTTACAAAAATTTTACAAGAATAGCTTTTTTATTGCAATTTTATTAAAAATCGATCGACACCTTAATCTTTAAGATCGGACGAGTATTAACTGAGATATGGCAGTTTTAGTGATAAGTGACCACTTTCAGCATGCGCTGCAACTAATATCCGGCGGTCAAGTATCACTAAAACTGCCATATCTCAGTTAATACTCGTCCGATCTTAAAGATTAAGGTGTCGATCGATTTGTAATGAAATTGCCTTAAAAAAGTTATTCTTGTAAAATTTTAAACAGCCGCCATTTTGTTTTATGAATTTGAAAAATTGTCCTAATTTTTTTGTAGCTTTGTCTAGTTGTCATAAATGTTGTTGCAAAGTTTCAACTTCGTATGTTTAACCAATTTTCAGGAAAAAATTAATAAGTGAAAAAAACAAAATGGCGGCTATCTGAGTAACTAAGGACTTCCGGACAATTTAAATATGATATTTAGATATGTTTCTCACCCAGGAACAATGCCCTAAAATATTGGTAGAGAGTTCCGGGACACCCTGTATAGCCTAATCACACAAAATAAAAAACGTTTGCTGTTAGATTTGAGCTTATAACTTACCCATTATATATTTTTTATACTTTTGCCTAAACTCAAAAATGTCATCTTACACCCTACTAAAAATGTTGCAAACTCAGTTAGGCCTCTATGACCAAATTTTAAGCAATCATGTTGCCTATGGTTCTTGGTTATTATTCCTCTTGTTAGTTTCAAGAAGAAGATTAAAATTTGAATTTATGTTTCATGATAAGTTAGCCTCTGGATTAAGACGTATGGCAAGATTAAAAAGGTTTGAATTACCTGTTGCATCAATTAATCCTGATGCTGTTATTTATAACACACCAGGATCAATTGACGCAACAGGTAATTTAAACCTTTCTTGAATTTAACTTATGTGTCTTTAGACAAAAAACCAGTTCTTTCAGGGAGTGCTGCCAAGGTCTAACTTACTACATACTGCTTCATAATTTAATTTTTCCACTTCAATTGTACACAATCTGCAACACCATTCTCTATCCTGAAATTGAGCAAAACCCAATGACTAAAGTGTTAAACAATTAACCAGAATTGCAATTCTACTTCAATGTTCTGCAACCAAACTTGTCAGGGCCTGATTGTAATTTGTATTCCAGATCCCACTGTTCGGAATCATGAGTTCCGACTCAGCAGATCCATTCTACTGGATCCGTGTGATTCTGGCTAGTAACCGAGGAACATTGATGGAGCTGGGAATCTCGCCTATCGTCACCTCTGGCCTCATCATGCAGCTGTTGGCTGGTGCCAAGATCATTGAGGTCGGAGACACGCCCAAAGACAGAGCGTTGTTTAACGGTGCTCAAAAATGTAAGTCTCCAGATCCATCTTTGGTTATGGGGTTGATACTGTGTTTATTTTGGAACTTAAGTAAATAGGATGCCTAAGACATTGTCTGACGATGTAGTGAAAAGAAAACACCATCTTAAGCTGGGTTTTCCTAGGTGCGGAATCAGCGAGCGGAGAGAGGAACGCGGAGAGCGGAATTGAAATTAACATGGCATTTTGCTCCGGTTGTAGGAAAACAGTAACATTAAATTGCCTAAGACAAGTGGAGTCCGCTCTCCGCGTTCCTCTCTCCGTTCGCCGATTACGTGCCTAGGAAAACCCGGCTTTAACGATGAAGTGAAATTACTATCTCACTTCCTATTAAAAGCAGGCATTTTGAAATAGGCCTAATAGATTATTCAGCATACCTACAATCATTTTTTGTGAGCTAGTGGGGTTACACTGATCTCCCATCTTTACTTCCCATCACAAAATAGTGTTAAAGACTTATGTACCTGTCTTGTCTAGTGTTTGGCATGGTGATCACCGTTGGACAGGCTATCGTCTACGTGATGACAGGAATGTACGGGGATCCCTCGGAGATCGGCGCAGGTGTCTGTCTGCTCATCATCATCCAGCTGTTTGTTGCGGGTTTGATTGTGTTGCTGCTTGATGAGTTGCTACAGAAGGGCTACGGTCTTGGGTCTGGTATCTCACTGTTCATTGCTACCAACATTTGTGAAACCATCGTCTGGAAGGCTTTCAGCCCTGCAACTGTCAACACAGGTAATGGGTTTAATGGTCTTTTATTGTTAGTTTAGATACTGTGGATGATGGTAAAGCTACAGCCCATTTTCATAAAAGTAACTTAGGTTTATAATTTTAAAACTATGAGGAGTTAAAGAACTCGTAGTTGCCTTAGAGTACTTTGCAATATATTAGTAGTCTTATTCACTACCGGTACGGTAAGTAAAAAGACAGAAAGGTTTTATATCAAATTTTTTGTTTTGCCGAAGTAGGCTAAGGTATGCAACGAAAATGTTAACTAGTAAGATGACTATTCCAACCTAGATGCTTTTGATGTACCTACTTTACCAGACAGTTTCATATTTTACTCAATAATTTTGTTACTACCGGGGAATAATTTTGTTCCAGGTAGAGGAACTGAGTTTGAAGGAGCTGTCATTGCTCTGTTTCATCTTCTGGCCACTAGACAAGATAAGGTCAGAGCTCTGCGTGAAGCTTTCTACAGACAGAACCTTCCCAATCTGATGAATCTTTTGGCTACTGTCCTCGTCTTTGCTATCGTCATATACTTCCAGGTAGGTTTAAGTGTTATACAGAGTGTTAAATGGTAAATATTTAGTTACTCTATGGTTGCATGTTGTTAATGAGTAATGTCATGTGTAAGTTTTACACATTGTGTTTTTATCATCTTTGAAATCCTGGAATTTCCCCTTAATTATATTTATAAATATTTTGCTTAACACCCTAATAACATAAGTTATGTTAATATTTCTCAATCCAAACCTAACGGTGTTCACCATTGTCGGCAATCAGGAACAACTTAAAGACTAATTCGGAATACTTAGAAGATTTCCGTGTGCATTACTACGTTTGCTGGATTCAATAATATTCACTGATGTTTTGCAGGGATTCCGTGTAGATCTTCCCATCAAATCCGCTCGCTACAGGGGTCAGTACAGCAGCTACCCTATCAAACTGTTCTACACTTCCAACATACCAATCATCCTGCAGTCTGCTCTCGTCTCTAACCTCTACGTTATCTCTCAGGTAAGCTTATCACTATTGGGGATGTACGGGACAAGATTGTGTACTTGCAATGTAAAAGTTTGTTTATTAGCAGCAGAGTGCCAGAGTCGGCAAATTAAATTGCCCTCGTTTTTAAGCCTCGTTAATTATAATCTCACTATCAACTTTTATCCTAACAGGGCTAAACAGGTTCTTCTATGATCTAGTCGATCATCTGCATTCAATATTTTCTGACCATTCCTAAATCGTTTTGATGAATGGGAGAGTTTTGCTAAATGTAAAATAATAAATAATTTTGCTAGTCTTGATTTTTTTCTAATCTATTTTCCCATGTGTAAAAAATTAAGAGTTAAAAGGTTCCTGTGGTATAGGAACTAGGGTTAACATACATACATTACTTAAATTTAAAACTACATCGTAATTTCACTGAGTTTCTAAAATCAACCTTAGGTAAATTACTTTGAAATACTCTCCATTTACATATCTCTGGTACAGGGTACAGATAAGGATATTCTAATCTTGCCCATTTGCATTCCTGAATTATGATTCATTAGAAACAATTTAGTAGGGATGGACGAGATTGGATTTTTAGTTTGAGACGAGACGAGATTTTTTATTTCTCATAAAATTTCGAGACGGGATTTCCCTTCTCATACACAACGGGAAATGCACGTTCGGAATTTTTACCTGATTTTGTAACATTGTTAGATGACTGTTTAAATACAAAAATAATGATAATAGGCAAGAATATTTACAATCTTTTATTAAAAAACATCAGCATAACATTTTTTTATTTATCACGCCTAACTTAAAAATGCCTACGATAAGGAAACATAGTGATATCAGTTAGGATAGAGTTCAACTTATCCTAAAATAAAATAAATCATAAAATAAAATATTAATTTATATAAAATAGTTACTTGTTTTGACTTTTTTATAGTAATAAAACATTCCTCACACTGCTAACACTTAACAAAACTTCTCAAATGTTATTAAAATAATTCAAGTAATATTTACATTTGAAGAATTAATTCAATAAGAACGCCTTCGCAAAGGAAACGCAACTACAACACGCTCCTGTATTGCGGGTATTGCATTGACTTTCTGCAGGCGTTTTTAATATTTTATTTTTTATTTTTTTTTTTTAATTCTCGTCTCGATAAAAATCACGGCCAAAAAGAAATCTCGTCTTGAAAATTTCCCGAAATTTCGAGACTTGACCATCCCTACAATTTAGTGGACTTAGGCTTGGTTAGTAAAGTTGTGACAGATCTTGATAAGGATGCTCCCTAAGCAAATTCCAGTGAATTGAAAATGACTCATATTTACATAAGAGATAGTGTGGAGCAGATGGGCAGATAGCATGGTTTTGTCAAGCTGTGTTATTGAACTGACACTAAAAAAATATTGCTAATTCATTATTAACTATTATATAGTCGCTCTACGCGAGGGATTTAGTTTGCATCTGCAATTTTGGTAAAAAGAGAGAATACAACAATGTAGCTTTCAATATTTCTATCCCAAACATATATCTATTTCCAAATCAACTGATTGTTTTTAAATATTTACCACATATGCCGCAAAGAAAAATGGATGGTGTATAATGTATGGAAGAGTACTAAGTGCTCTTGTGCTGGTAGCGTTGCTGGCTTGTATTTAGTGTCTCAGACTTTAGTGTGAGTGGTATGAGTTTAATTCCTTGCATATTTGTAACTTAAATTTTATGGGCTTGGACAGCTTACCCTTTTTAAGTGTTTGTAATTCCATACCCTAAATTACTTTGGCCTTGACATTACAATAACAACATTTCCACCATGAAACGCACTTAGTGTAGTGTATACAGTGGTAGGTCCATTAAGTTGCAGTCACTACACACCTGTATGGTAGGCCTAACTCAAGTATCTCTGTGTCAGATGTTAGCAGTCAAGTTCCATGGCAATCTGTTTGTCAACCTGCTGGGAGTGTGGGCTGACGTGGGAGGTGGTGGTCCCGCCAGAGCTTACCCTGTAGGCGGACTTTGCTACTATCTCTCACCCCCGGAGAACCTGGGACATATCCTGGAGGATCCCATCCACGCTGTTCTCTACATCGTCTTCATGCTGGGCTCCTGCGCCTTCTTCTCCAAGACTTGGATCGACGTTTCCGGCAGCTCTGCCAAGGATGTAAGTGAAAAATTGTAGAACTCAGTAGATGCTTGTTAATTCAGCATAGGTCGGGGACTTTGTGTGAGACTATTGGAAATGTCAGATTACTGAACATATTCTAAAATCTGCCATTATGGTAAGGCTAGCGTAAATACTGCTTATTTTAAACGAAATAAATCATTGCCAATTATTTAAATTTTTATTGTGATTATTGAGTAGTGGTTTTAAAATGCTAAAACAAATAACACACCCCTGGATTCAACCGACTGCAACTGAAATCTGCCGATCCCTACCGATGTTGCCAATAGCTCCATGTCAGAACTAGCACCCACAAAGGAAGATTAGTAGGAGAGGGAATGTACTAGCTTATTTTTTGTGCTAATTTCAGGTGGCAAAACAGCTGAAGGAGCAGCAGATGGTGATGAGAGGTCACAGAGATAACTCTATGATCCACGAACTCAACAGATACATCCCCACTGCAGCTGCCTTCGGTGGTCTTTGCATCGGAGCCTTGTCCGTCCTCGCTGACTTCATGGGAGCGATCGGCTCAGGAACCGGTATCCTATTGGCCGTCACCATCATCTACCAGTACTTTGAGATATTCGTCAAAGAGCAGAGCGAGATGGGCGGAATGAGCACGCTGCTTTTCTAAGTTGTTACGAAGCTTTAGGAGTTTTAATAAATTGTTATTTATTTGTGTCGATTTAGTGGTGAAAAAGACATTACATACTTGTCACATTGACAAACTTCTGCTAGACGACGCCAACTGTTAAATGTAATTTTGTACTTTAAATGACATTAAAAAATGTGAAAACTATTGGATTATTATTTTGAATCTTGGTTGTGTATTCGGTTTCATGTTTGTGTGATTTGATGTAAATGAAATTTTAATATATTTTTGAGGATCCATGTGCAGCTGTGTAATATGATAATCTGCAATTTGTTTAACTAGTTTTATTTTGCTTGTTTATACTTATCCGTGGTTTTTCAGCTTTTAATTTATTCAAGTCGCTCTACTGTAATGGAAATTTTAATTGAATTTTGCCTAATATTAACAATTATTTATGCATAAGTTTAGGTTAACTGTACCAATACTATGTATTGGTATTGTTTTATAAATACCTACCTTATAGTTTATTGTATTTAAAACAAAGGATATATTTACTTCAAGTTCCGTGCATATTCTCATCTCATGGTGTGGGGCGACCACTGATCATATTTCATTCCTCATTTCAACATTCGTTATTGTAATTTTGTACTATAAAATGACACTGAATAAACGTGTCCAGAAGTACAAGTGTTAATTATTCCATTACCTGCCTATTGAGTCAGTGTAAATGGGATTACTACTGAATGCTTATAGTATTGGTCTACAATCTGGAGGCTGCTAGTTAGGTCATGGGAAATTCAGCAGCTTTTTGATGGTTTTGGACTGGACCCAGCTGTCTTTGATCATGGTTGAAGAACCAGCTTATCATAGTCAGCAACAAAGATACATAAACGGTATCAGCATTCTGACACATACTTTCTCCCATAAGTTTGTCAACAACCTTTATCATGTGTAAGCGGTGAACGTAAATATACGGCCAAAACCAGAAATTTCGAACCTCAAAACCGAAAATTAAAAAATCAAATCCCGAATCTCAAAACTGAAACGCAAAACTTTTTTATTTGCCCAGTCAAGGCAAATTATTTATCTCAAAACAAATTAAGATAATAATAATTTGAATATGTGGCTAATAAACTAAACCTAAAAATATTTTTAATAAAATACAAACACTAAAATAAATATAAGTAATAGATGAATTAAAACATTTAGTGGTCAATAATATTATTTGGTTTAGTAAATACCGGTATGAAACTGTATATAGTAAATTGTTCTAGTATTAGTAATTATTTAATTTATGATACCTATTGCTGTTCAATATTATTAGTTACATTGGCGTTACTGAAGATTTGTTTGCTCCATTGCTGCCAGCGAGTGTAAACAGTGTTGCAAAAATACAGTAATGATGCAAAAAATTTCAATTTCAAAACAATACAAGAACTTCCCAAATCTTTAATTTTAAACCATAAAATCTCGAAACCGAAACTTTTTTAAAGTTTTGATGGTTTTAAGATTTGAGATTCGGTTTTAAGATATCACTACAAGGAATCATATTTGGGTTGAAGTAAACCTTAGTTTGCTTTACTTTTGGATACTGGAATACTTGCAAGTTCTAAGAACTCATAAATAAGCTAAACAATCAACAAATAAAGGAGTAAGGGAAAAACAAGAAAAGTCAAAAATAATAATTGGTTTTTAATTAATCAAATAATTTTTGGCCAATACAAATGACATTACAAGCATTGAACATTTTTCAAAATCTTTAGAGTTCTGCGGGACATAAATTTGTGATAGGATAGGACATACCTATACCTACTATTTTAACAGATTAATTAGAACAAAATAAATTTCAATGACTAGTTAACAGAGTAAATTAATCATAAAATAGTCGTTATATTATCTAAGATTCCTGTAATCTCTTGGAATTCACTTTTGTCCCAATAACAAACATTGGCAATATATTGTTCGGTCCCAACCTCTGCACATCTCTAAATTTATTGAACAGGCAGATTGATTTTTTAATAGGCTATGGTTTAATGTTTGTTAATAAATTACGGTTAATTCCATTACAATATAAAAAAAGGCAATGTGGAGTAAGGAATTTATCAAAAACTACGGAAATAATATAAAAAATAAAATAATTTATCAAGCTTACGCAAACAAATTCAAACTGACTATAAAGCATGCCACTTCCATTTAACAGCAGAGCATTTGTGACAACAAAGTTCAATAATTGCAAACAACTTTGGTTATGAGTTAATAATATATGCCAAAACAAGTATACAAACTGTTGCTTTGGTCCAATTACACTTACATGACAAATTTTAGTTTAGATTTTTAATACCCCAGGATACTTGGGTATTCTGATAATTTTGACAATCAAATTTACATTGTTAGGATAAACTAATAAAATGTTAGAGCTTGCAATATTCTACAGCAGGCTAGTTAGTTATAAAACTAGTGAAGTTTCTTACCAATGATAACGAATGCAGGGGTTTAGTGTATCTAATGTTCTACAGTATATTGAACCAACTATCCCTACTCTTGGATAGGAAAAATGGCTTTTGGACCTTGTGGATAGCTTCATATGTGTTTATTAATTTATGTTCATCATGATAAAACCTTAACCATCAACTACTGTATTATACCTCTGGATACATTTCCCAAAATGAACAAAAGTTTCTTTTTAATTTGGAAATAAAATGTCTAATGTTCAATTTCATTTATATTTGTTCTGAAATATAAATTTTTTTTTTATTTAAATAATAAAAAAAAATTCAGATAAAATTAAATTCTTTCGAGGGAATTATTTAGTCCATCTAAATGTTAAAATCCAGGATTACTTTGACAAACTCAAAAACTATTGAAGATATTGTTTATTTATAAGTTAAGAGACATGAACCAGTGTCAAGAGTTGGTATTCAATAAATAAATAGCACAGATAAATTATGAAAATAAATTAAGGACAGACATGACTTAAATAAATTGCCTAGATAAACTTTAAAGCTGTTGTAACAATAAATACAGTAGTAATATAAGTCTTCTTTCCTATGTGTCAATAATTATCCTACAAATCGAAACGTACAAGAGTTGTTTAGAAAGTAGGGAATGTTTTTTTACCTACGACCGTTTTTTAAAGTAGCCATTTCAGTCCAGTTCTTAGAATTGAAAAGTTTTACTTTACAGCTGTTTACTTTCATATCCGCATAGTTTCATTTCATATCCGCATAGTTTTCTCATATCCACACAGGTAACGAACCAATGAGGTTCAAGTATTGAGAGAAAAGAATTAAAATTGTAATGCTTCGAACGTCAACTCAATTTAATTGTTGATCCGACTTGTTCATGTTGATACTCGCGTATTCTTAATTAAGCTGGTGGAAGTCCAAAAATAAATGAAATATTTGCCGAATTGTACCTGATACAATATTATTTATGGTAAGAATGCTGCTAGCAATGTAATATTTAACGAAGTTTAACAAACCCGTAATTACAGGAAATCAGCTGATTATACAACAAGTCGTTGCATCACTTTCAGTGGCAATGACAATACACGAAAACATAACCTCTCTAAAAAGTTATCATTAGTGATTGTTAGTAATTAAATCCAGATTGATAGCAATTAAAAAACGGTCGTAGGTAAAGTAGTGTACGCAACTCGCGCTTTACGACACTCGTAGAAGTTTTTAAGGCACTCGCCAAGGCTCGTGCCTTAAATTTTCTACTCGTGTCGTAAAGACTCACTTAACGCAATCGTTGCGTAAACTACTATTCTGATACTGATGGATGCATTAGCTGTACAATTTCTAGTACAGACCTGTTCTTTTTTTCACTGACAGTCCAGCCATCACAAAAGAAGGGTCACTGCGCAATATTACAGTTTAAAAAGTGTGCTGAAATTAAAAATCTCACTAGTTGTAAAATGTGGAATGTAATACAGAGAAATGTTTATGCACGAGTTGCTGATCGTAGTCTTAATGTTTTTAAGTATTGCCAACTTATTTCAACTTGTCTTACGTGTTTAAAAGCACACTGTTTTTGTTTGTTGTTTTGTGTTGTTTGGTTGGACTTCTGTTGTACCTTAGTCAGGTGACTCTAGGACAACATTCTTTACTTTCCGAACAGCTCTTGTAACATCCTAAAACAACAATATAACAAGGCATTTATACTAATCAATATAAAACGTTATCACATTTAGGCCTACTGTTAGCCTTATGCTTTGACAAAATTACAGTATTACATCACAGTACAAAATATATAAAAAAATAATTTTTGTACATACAAATTTGTCTACCTAAGAGCACTATTGTCAACCGTGTGTAACCAGATAGGTAATTGTGGAAAGTATCTTTTTGCCCCGTGGATCCGTCAACAGATTCAGAGAGGGATCCTTAATTTTTTGATCCATCAACTTCAACAGTTCCTTTTGCATTGTTTGTAGCAACTCGCCAATCTGAAACATGATTTAGCATCATATGAAAAAAAATTGAAACAAGACTGTGAAACTGGATTCAGAGAAAAGCTGCCAAAAAAGCAAAAATACCCCCGCCGCAGCAAACCTGCAGACTAAGCGAATTTCCATTTGACTGATTGGATTTACACTGAAATGTCTACTTAAAAATATAACATTTATTCTTGATTTAAATAGAATTAGTTTAACAAGTACTTAGGTTTGCTGCATCAGGGAGGGTAAAACTTTTTTTTTGTAAAATGTGAATAGTTAGTAAGAAATAAAAACATTTTCCAAATTTGATCAAAATATGTTCACAAACAAGCAAACTACAACAGTTTACTTATTCTCCATAAGAATAACATGAGAATTTTAAATTTACAATTTTTTGGAATTTTCTCCGTAACCATTAGGCGCATAATAACGCTTCAATATACTAAATTATTTGTTTTTTTAAGCTCTACAAAATGGTTTGGAAAGAAATTGCTAAATTTTATGTTTTTTGGGTCAAAAATGGGAAAAACCTATTTTTACCCCATAAAACCCCCCGTAAACCCCCGTTCCCATGGTCTGATCATGCTGGATCGCGAACTCGTTCGAATAAACATACGTTTACACGTTTGTACCAAATTTCATCAAAATCGGATCATTTTTGCTCGAGTTATCGTGCTGACGGACACATATATATATATATATAAATATATAAATATATATATATATATATATATATATGAATTTGAACGGATGGTGTTTTTGGCCTCTAGGGACCTCAAAATGAAAAAAAAATCTGTCCTGCGTCCAGGTCTTACCATGAGTACTACGGTAATAGCTTATTCCCTATATGGGAAATTCGCTAACAGTGTCTCTCATTTGTCCCCATCATTAAAGGTTGAGTTTCTGGGGAGGTTTTATAAGCCGTCTTGATATGGATGTTATTTTAGCTGAAGATTTCCCAGAGGTGTCTGGAGGAACCATTAAACAGTTTCTCATTTCTTCATCGATTCAATGATCCAACTGACCATCTGATTGACGTTTGTGGTTAACCGTTTAAAACTTAGTTATGTACGTACCGTTGTCTATGGATTCGATTATCCATCTGACCACTTGTTGATGGTGAATGGTTGTGGTTACTTTCCTTTAGAATATTTTGCATTGGTCGCAGGTGAAACCGGTTTCTTCAAAACTATGGTTCCTTTGTCAGTCAGCACTTAAAAGATTGTAGTGAGTTTAGCTTTTTTACCACTTGTCCTTCATGTTCCAGATCAGATATCCAAACTTTGGTTCCTGGGTTTAGATTAGATAAGGGTCGAACACCATGTCTTCGATCATAATTTCGTTTGTAGTTTTGTCTATTAATTAATACATGGTGCAGTCTTTATTTGCATAGTTTGGAGTGACCAAAGGCTTTGGTTGTTTCAACTGTTTATGTATTAATTAATAGACAAAACTACAAACAAAATTATGATCAAAGACATGGTGTTGAATGGACATCAGATTCCCTTTGGGAGCGTAGGTTTGGGTCCTACCGACTGCGCCATGTATTAAGCTCATGAAAATCAGAACTTATTATGAAAGAATAATTTTGGTAAAAATATTTAATTAGTACAAATCAACTAGAAGTAAACAATAACAATTAACACAAATCTAGAATGACAATTGTCAGTAGAGCCAACCATTACAGCTCTCTATCCCCCCTCCTGAATTGTCTTCTTTCAGTTGGAATCAAACATCTTTGAAAGGATAAGTAAGATATACCACGCGAAAAGGGCTGACACAACACTCTAGTCCCATTTTGAACAAATATTATGTATTGTAAATGGGGTCATATAAAAACTCCTATCTAATTCATTGCAACTATTGCTTCTAAAGTTGGGCTCAAACTGTCATACATGTTCGTTTTGAGAAATTCAGAACATTTTCCCGAACATTTTTTATTTTATATGGATTTTACGGTAAAGCCACGTGGCTGATAAAGGTATGCAACACCTGACAGTCATCATTGGTATGGCATGTGACCTTTCCTTGTGTAACTATAAGCTTCTGGATTTCACTTTTCTCAAATAAGCTAACAAATCTTTAAAATAAAACCAAAATAGAGTGGTTTTATCTTAAACTTAACGATCCCCAGACAAGAGTCAATAGATTGAACAGTTAGTTGCTGTACTCACTGCATGGTTGTTGATGGTGAACATGATCCATCTGTCCTCAAGAGAGATTGTGAACATGCTGTTGCTCAACTCAACAGTGAGTTCATTGCTGCTGAACATCACCAAGGGAAGTACTGGGACCATTGTACAGTCTCTGATGAAGATCTTGGAGGTTTTTACCTGTAACAAATTACTTTTAAACTTAGGCCTATTCATAAATAAATTTTGTGATTCCTTAGCATCAAATACCTTGAATGTAGACACTTAAAACCGATAAACCAACATTGAAACCGATCCGTCCCTAGTTAAATAGAGATCACAGAGGTCTAACCAATACAAACATGAATTAAGAGAATCTTCCATAAAAAAATCATATGAACAATTGAACTAATTCATAGTTTACAGCAAAATAAATAAAAATTAACTCAGCACTCACCTTTTCTTGGAAGACAAGATATGGACTGGAGAAACGGCCTTGATTGTAATTCACAGAAGATGGATGAAGATGAACCTGAAAATGAACAACAAATAAAAACATTATCTTTTCTAATTGATCACTTAACTTAAAAGATTGTATACTGTCTTGACTACTTAAATATTAATTTCATTAGTAAATACTCAAACTTTCCATTTGATAACAAACAACACCGTCACATTTTCAATCCAGCACTCACATTCAAAAGCCAATTTTGCATTTAGTAAGTAACATTTTAAGATTAGCTGATTGTTATTTTTATTTATGATTTGGTTAGAGGAGAATAAATTCTAATGAACTGCTGCTCAAGTGTATGGGAAACAAAATTTTAAAAGAATTTTTACTTACATATCCGTCGCATTTGGTCTTGAATTTGAGGTCCTCAGGCTTTTGCTCCTTGGGTACAGCCCCTGAGATGCTGTGGGCGTAAAACTTTTCCGGGCTTAGCACCTTAACAATATTTGGGTACAGAGCCGCGCTGAGGAGGCCCGCTAACAGTTTATAATTTTCGCCATTGGCGTTAAGCTGCAAGTGAGAACAATTATGAGTAAATATTTTTACAATAGATGACATTGGAATGTTAACACTTAAAATAGCTTCAAGATTGCAAGAAGCTCATCTATATGCTGTGAATTCCTAGGAACACAAAAAAAGAAACAGGCCTCACACACTAGGAGTGATAAGTTTGTTAAGAACTTTTCCTTGTAAATGCCACATAATTCAATTTGTAATCACTGATAGGTGGAACCAATCAAAACACTTGTCACACTAGAACGATTTCATTAAAACTATAAGTGAACAATGAATAGAGTGAGATGCCTTGTGTAGCTTTGTACTGACTAAGATTGAGAATTTACATTGGGACAAAACAAAAGTGACAAAGATGCAGCCCCAGCCTACTGAAACAGCTGATGCACAAATTTATAATGGAGTCTCTGCACAATGTTATTACCATGGTAATAAGCCGGTCGGTGTGATATTCCTACACCCCCCCCCCTCTTGTCTTAGAAGAGGCTATGACATTTATCTAGGCCAGCTAGCTCTAGTTTCAAATCATCATAAAGCTACTGACCTTTTTAGCATCAAACCAACGAACAGCTTACTGATTACTGGTCGAGCACGATGACCAATTCAAGAATATTAAAAAAATCTATAAACAGTTCTTGTCAAGAAAACTATTACATATGTGGTGAAGAAGGTATATTCTAAGCCAGACAAGATTCATTGAAGACTACAGGGTGGCCGAAAAGTCCCTTTACACAATACTAGCTATTACCCACGGGATTCACCTCGTTTGACTTCATAAGTATTAAAAAAACTATTGATTGGTTAAGTTAAGCTAAAAAAAAAATTACAGTAATACAAACAAATAATCACACCAGATTTTAATACAGTAGTTATGCCTAATTGAAAGAATAACATACTCCCCCAGATGTGAATCCAGCCACTACTTACAGAAAGTTAACTACTTACCTCCTCCCCTGTGAGCTCTAATATCTTGTCTTCATTGCACCTTCTATTTTGGCCCCGGCAGTTATCCGGGACAAAGCCTATAGAAGCCAGATACTCCAGGAACTGTGACTTTATGCCGATCAAAGTCTGCATAGTGCGGACAGAGAGAAAGTTCTCGTTAGCGTACGTGTAACCGGCGTTTTTGCCGCTAGCTGCTGCTTTACGCCAGCCCTGTGGAATAGATATTATTATCACTTCTATTACATAATGACCATGTGAGATGGGGACACAACTGTATTTACAATTTCAATAATTATTGTTAAATCTTTCATATAGTAAGGTTCTAAGTAGTTCAGTAGCTCTTAAGTATGTCTAAATTTCAAGTGTAATCTATTCGTTACAGGCATCACTTTTGTGGAACAGAATGTTTAATTAATAAAGAATATAGAAAAACTCTAAAACAATTTTGATTTATATTTAATCTTTTCACTAACAGCCTCCATAGTAAAATATTTTTAATGACAATGTTTGGTAAGAATGAACGATCCAGTATGAGTGGTAGTAACGTCTACTTACATTGTATGCTCTCAGTATCGTAAAGTGATCACTGTTTGCTACCATGAATTCCTTCTTCTTCTTGTTTACCTCATCTTTCTTATCAAAGTGAAATTGGAAAGGTGATTTTTGAGAAAGGCTGAAATCAACATTGTGTAAATTTATTAGTCAACAATATCCTATTTGCTAATCAACACAAACTAGTACTAGGTGGCGTTCGCAGAGGCATCCACAAAATTGAGCGGAGTCATCAAGGGTTCTTATTATATTGTTTTTGTCATACTGCAGTAAAATCGGTCGTTTTTAATGCATGCGTCGCGGGTCGAAAATAGCATTTTTACTCTTTAGGGAGTAAAAATAGTTTTTAGCCTCTATGGAGTAAAATTCAGCTGTTGTCAACTCAGTTGTAAATATCTATTGTAAACGATTGCATGTATCGAAATATGTATCGATTCGTGCTTCGTAATCATTTTAACCTACAGTCTACAGTCTTCCCATAGCATTTTAGCATTGCAGATACATTAATCCATTCCCACACTCAACACTGCTCACCTTTACTACTTCGTTCACCACCCCCTACGTCGTGAACCTGGTTCCTTCTCTTCCCATAGCATTTTAGGATTACAGATATATTAATGCGATTGCCAAAGACAGTTCCCACACTCTGCACTGCAAGCCTTACTACTTCCTTCACCATTTCCTACGCCATAGACCTGTTTCCTTACCTTCTCATAGCGTTTAAGTATAAGATACATTTTATCTAACTGCCCAAACGGTTCCCCCACTCTGCACTGCCAGCCTTTACTAATTCCTTCACCATTTCCTACGTCGCGGGGCCTGTTTCCTTCCCTTCTCATAGCATTTTAGGATGGAAGATACATTAATCTAACTGCCACAGACGGTTCTCACACTATGGTCATACTTTACTACTTCTTAAGCCACTTCCTACATCGTGGACCTGTTTTCATCACTTTCCATAGCATTTTAGGATTGCAGATACCTTAACCCAATCGTCATAAACAGTTCCCACACTCCGAAAAGCTCGTCTTTACTACTTCCTTCACCAGTTCCTACGTCACGGACCTGTTTCCCTCCCTTTCCATTGCATTTTAGGATTGCAGATACCTTAACCCAATCGTCATAAACAGTTCCCACACTCCGAAAAGCTCGTCTTTACTTCTTCCTTCACCACTTCCTACGTCACGGACCTGTTTCACTTCCTTTCCATAGCATTATTGGATTGCAAATACCATTAATCTATTGGTGATAAAGAGATCCCACACTCTGGACAACTCGCCTTTACTACTTCCTTCACCACTTCCTACGTCGCGGACCTGTTTCCCTCCCTTTCCATAGCATCATAGGATTGCAAATACCTTAATCTAATGGTAATAAACAGATCACATACCCCGAACAGCTCACCTTTACTACTTCCTTCACCACTTCCTACGTCGCGGACCTGTTTCCCTCCCTTTCCATAGCATTTTAGGATTGCAGATACCTTAATCTAATCGTCATAAACAGTTTCCACACTCCGAAAAGCTTGTCTTTACTACTTCCTTCTCCACTTCCTACGTCACGGACCTGTTTCCCTCCCTTTCCATAGCATTTTAGAATTGCAGATACCTTTATCTAATCGTCATAAACAGTTCCCACACTCTGGACAACTCGCCTTTACTACTTCCTTCACCACTTCCTACGTCGCGGACCTGTTTCCCTCCCTTTCCTTAGCATTATTGGATTGCAAATACCTTAATCTATTGGTCATAAACAGATCCCACACTCCGAACAACTCGCCTTTACTACTTCCTTCACCACTTCCTACGTCTCGGACCTGTTTCCCTCCCTTCCCATAGCATTTTATGATTGCAGATACCTTAATCTAATCGTCATAAACAGTTCCCACACTCCGGACAGCTCACCTTTACTACTTCCTTCACCACTTCCTACGTCACGGACCTGTTTCCCTCCCTTTCCATAGCATTTTAGGAATGCAAATACCTTAATCTAATCGTCATAAACAGTTCCCAACCTCCGAAAAGCTCGTCTTTACTACCTCCTTCACCACTTCCTACGTCACGGACCTGTTTCCCTCCCTTTCCATAGCATTTTAGGAATGCAGATCTAATCGTCATAAACAGTTCCCACACTTCGGACAGCTCGCCTTTATTACCTCTTTCACCACTTCCTACGTCATGGACCTGTTTCCCTCCCTTTCCATAGCATTTTAGGATTGCAGATACCTTAATCTAATCGTCATAAACAGTTCCCACACTCCGAAAAGCTCGCCTTTACTACTTACTTCACCACTTCCTACGTCACGAACCTGTTTCCCTCCCTTTCCATAGCATTTTAGGATTGAAGATACCTTAATCTAATCGTCATAAACAGTTCCCACACTCCGGACAACTCGCCTTTACTACTTCCTTCACCACTTCCTACGTCGCGGACCTGTTTCCCTCCCTTTCCATAGCATCATAGGATTGCAAATACCTTAATCTAATGGTAATAAACAGATCACATACCCCGAACAGCTCACCTTTACTACTTCCTTCACCACTTCCTACGTCGCGGACCTGTTTCCCTCCCTTTCCATAGTATTTTAGGATTGCAGATACCTTAATCTAATCGTCATAAACAGTTTCCACACTCCGAAAAGCTCGTCTTTACTACTTCCTTCTCCACTTCCTACGTCATGGACCTGTTTCCCTCCCTTTCCATAGCATTTAAGAATTGCAGATACCTTAACCCAATCGTCATAAACAGTTCCCACACTCCGAAAAGCTCGTCTTTACTTCTTCCTTCACCACTTCCTACGTCACGGACCTGTTTCACTTCCTTTCCATAGCATTATTGGATTGCAAATACCTTAATCTAATGGTAATAAACAGATCACATACCCCGAACAGCTCACCTTTACTACTTCCTTCACCACTTCCTACGTCGCGGACCTGTTTCCCTCCCTTTCCATAGCATCATAGGATTGCAAATACCTTAATCTAATGGTAATAAACAGATCACATACCCCGAACAGTTCACCTTTACTACTTCCTTCACCACTTCCTACGTCGCGGACCTGTTTCCCTCCCTTTCCATAGCATTTTAGGATTGCAGATACCTTAATCTAATCGTCATAAACAGTTTCCACACTCCGAAAAGCTTGTCTTTACTACTTCCTTCTCCACTTCCTACGTCACGGACCTGTTTCCCTCCCTTTCCATAGCATTTTAGAATTGCAGATACCTTTATCTAATCGTCATAAACAGTTCCCACACTCTGGACAACTCGCCTTTACTACTTCCTTCACCACTTCCTACGTCGCGGACCTGTTTCCCTCCCTTTCCTTAGCATTATTGGATTGCAAATACCTTAATCTATTGGTCATAAACAGATCCCACACTCCGAACAACTCGCCTTTACTACTTCCTTCACCACTTCCTACGTCTCGGACCTGTTTCCCTCCCTTCCCATAGCATTTTATGATTGCAGATACCTTAATCTAATCGTCATAAACAGTTCCCACACTCCGGACAGCTCGTCTTTACTACTTCCTTCTCCACTTCCTACGTCATGGACCTGTTTCCCTCCCTTTCCATAGCATTTAAGAATTGCAGATACCTTAATCTAATCGTCATAAACAGTTCCCACACTCTGGACAACTCGCCTTTACTACTTCCTTCACCACTTCCTACGTCACGGACCTCAAGCTAGTGTCGTCATTTGATTATATTTACGATCCATACCGTTTCTGTTCTAATATCTGTGGAATAATGCTATCAGATATTTCTTTACCTACTGCATTCAAAAGTCAACAGCTGATCATATGTCTTTGTTTATGTGTCAAATATACTGCTTCCATAAGGATTACATTGAAACTTTGAGACCCAGTGGGGCGGATTCCTGAGAGACTTTTTTAACGCCATATAGATGTTGGCACTCACCGATATGGTCTTAATCACCATGCAAAATTTGAAAACGATTGATTCAGCCGTCTAGGAGGAGTTTGCGTATTACGAAATGCATAAGAGTCGACGTATGAGCTTCGCTCGCTTCGCTCGCTCCGCTCAATTATAATGATGAAATTACTATAGCGTCGTGATGATAGCTTACGGTCATGATGGCATTGTGATCAATGCACACATTGTAAAAGCCAATAATACTTTCTTACTACTGATAACTATATCAAAGGTGTTACAGGCCAAAATATAATCAAACTATGATACGTAGGCCTACAATGAGTTGTCATAATCATAATAATGAACAATAATTGAGTATAGTGTAATGATTAAATTAGGGGTGTGCGAGTATTCGAACATCGAGCTTTTTCGAGCCGAATAGGACGCTATTCGGCTCGGCTCGTGATTTTCAAAAAGTTCGAAATGTTCGAGCCGAATACTTATTGAACTAGCAAATAAAAATTAAATTAATAAATAAGGAACTAACTTTCATTTAAATTTACTCTCCTCCGTTTCATAATTGTGTCTTGATAAGCACGAACCTCAGCTCAGTCAAGACGCAATGATTATCGATCGTAATTTTGAGGAAACTACCACCTATCGCGTTGTCTTTCTAACACAACTATTCGTATCGTAATATACAACGCAGTGCGAGTGCGTGATTGGCTAAGTCGCTATGACGACACACGGTTACCGTGGCAACCTACAGTGCGCACTGAGCACTGCGCCTTGTGTGGGAGGGGAGATTATACCAACAAACTATTTCAGGAATTCTATTTTGGGACAGATGAAAGATAAGGAAGAAACAAAAAGTGGTCACGTGTGCAAATGTAGTGGGCGAGACAATAAGGCTGTAAACGAGTATCGTCGTGTCGTTGTTCCTTGTTTGTTTACTTTTTCAGATTCCTTATCAAACGCCCCTATCTGCTATCTCTCTTTCTCTCTCTCTCTCTCTAACAATGTACTGATTAAACAGATTGTGGTTGACGACTTTTCTACTTGTAAGTTTCCCTGCGGTTATTTTAGTTCAATCAATCCCGTAACCTTTCTATTGTTTATCAAAATAATTAATTAATGTGTTTTGTATTTTATTTCCTTTAAACCAACCCCTATTTACCATCTGTATTTTATAGAATAAAATGTTTGTTTATAAAGTTTGACTGGCCACACAATTTTGTACCTATTTTATTTAGTATAAAGTAACAGTTACTTTGAGGATTATATATATATATATACAGTAGAACGTCGATTATCCGAAGCCCGGTCATCCGAAACGTCGGTTAACCGAAAGGAAGAAAGAAGCAAAAATCAATAAAATCGCGCGCCAATCACGACTGGCCGTAGCGCTACGCCACCGCACGGCTGCTAAGTGGTGAAAGTCTAAATATAGCTCAAAGGTCTGACCCTCCCCCTTCCCCCCAAACCCCTACTTCATTCGCTGTTGTTATGCCCGCTCACTTCGAGGTCATTGCACAACCCCTTCCTCCCTTCTATTGTTTTTCATTGCCAGTCAGTCGCCGGCGACTGCTTTGAGTTGACCTATTCTGTTGTAACAGCTAAAAAAATAGGTTAGGACAACTACCTCTTGCTTATTTCTACACTGTAAAAATATTTGTATTAGGCCAGTATATTATCCAGTATTTCATGTAAACACAAGTTACATTTTAACGAATATTGATTTTTTACCAATTTAAACCAAACTCGACTTGAAACTGCTGAGTTAAAAAATAAGCTCGAGTTTCAAGGCCGTACTCGACTCGAACTCAAAATCTCAAGTACTCGCACATCTCTATAATTAATCAAATTTATATTATTGTACAGTATCCACAGATGCGAAATCGGCAAATCGCCACCGGCCGCTATCCCTTCCCGTTCCCCGTATTTTTCCCGTCAATGACCGGTTATCCGAACAACCCCAATCCCCAATTAATTTGGATAATCGACGTTCTACCAATAAGTGGCGGGTGCTGTAATGAGTGCTTTTTATTATCAAAATAAGTAATGAGTTATTAATTTTTGATTGTACATGGGTCATTGAATACCATAATGTGATGTAGTTTCCTATTTGTATCTTGCAAATAATAATAATTGATAGTTAATTCTGGAAATGAAAAATAGTGATCGCATTCATAAACCTGTTGTCAAAACAGCAACGAGGGTGTAAGGGTTTATTGTTTCAGACGCAAAGGTGTTTCAAGCACAAAGTGATGGGCCACCCGGATTGGGGGGGAGGGGGGCGGTGAGACTGTGTGAAGGGGAGGAAACTGGTTTTGGCTATTTATTGATTAGTTCGCCGACCCTTCTAGATGACAAAATTGAGTGACAGTGTTAAATCATCGTGTTCTGCATTTCATTTCTTGTTTACTTTGTGTGTTATTCTATTAATTCTAGTGCTTTGGTCTATTTCCTCTATATGTCAATTATATATTTTTTAATATATAAGTAAAACTTGTCTCTCCACCTTTTTGGATCCAAACCAACCATGTTCTTTTTTGATTAATAGGATTCATAAAACAAAAATATTTTGTGCATGGAAAACAACAAGAATAATCATGTGTTTTTAAATTTATTTTGTATTTATTTATCTATATAAATAAAATTAGAGTTTTGTCTGTACATTGCTTAGAATAATGAACTTTTTGGTTATTTTTACATTTCATAGGTCAGAGAAACCGAATCAAACCTTATCTCAATTTCTGTCTGTCTGTCTGTCTGTCTGTCTGTCTGTCTATCTGTCATTCTCTTGGTAACGCTAAAATACGCACTTTATTACAACTACTCCTCAATAACTATAGCACTGTCCCGCCTGAAACTTATTTTCCAAATACTATACATATATGAGATGGTTTTAGACGTATTTCATCGAATATGAGACAGTTAGATATTTAACAGTAAACCCTTGAAAATCAAGTTTTTGTCGATTTTTGACGTGGAATTTCTGGAAGCCCATGTTAACCTTATGAGAAATGAAATTATTGAATCTTAACAGCTGTTTCAATTAAACAAGTTGGTTCTGTTCTGTGATGTTCAATAGCATTAAAGTTACAAGGATTACCAACAGGGTGCAGCACTAGCACTATTATTTCTTTTACATTTATGACAACAGCTAATTTGCCTGGAGGCGAGTGAGCGTAGCGAACGAGCTAACCTGAAGGCAAGTGAGCGTAGCGAACGAGCTAACCTGAAGGAAAGTGAGCGCAGCGAACGAGCTCCAACATACAGGTGAGTGAGCGTAGCGAACGAACTTCAACCAGGACGTGATTGAGCCATGCAAACGAGATCAGATAGTAAAAATAAAAGTAAGCCTACCGTTATAGGATCGACCGGCAGACACAGAGGTAATTTAACCTTTTATTGATTGTCATACCGATCCGGAACAACAAAAAACAACATAAAATGAAGCTATGTATAATAGTTTGGCCAGCATATCTTAAAATATGCAAACCAACTGCTGTTCTTTATATAAGAAGGTTTCAACTGAATATTATAAGATCCCCGTGCGTAGAACGGGTACACAGCTAGTACAAAATAGAATTAAATATTCATAGTAGTTATAATATACATATGTAATCGACTTGCTAGTTGTTTTGTCGTCATTCAAGGTCGCGTTGCTGTTCTGTTATGAAAGACAATCTGATTTTCTCAGTTTGCACTGCATATCTCTTCAGGCCTTCAATCGATATCCTTTTATTTCTTGCATCTTCATTTAGTTCAGTTCAGTTCTTATCGTGATTATCTACTATTTGATGTCTTGACAATTCTCAATGTTTTTAAACATATTAAAATAACATTGTGTTTATTTAAAAATTGACTGAACATTATTATTATTATGCACTTTTTTAAGAAAAAAAAGTTTAATAATTAAGATAAGGTTACGCTAGGAAAAGCTCGGCTCGAAAAAGCTCGAGCTCGAACATTTTTTAAAAAGCTCGGCTCGGCTCGGCTCAAGGTTGAAAATCACTATTCGCACACCCCTAGATTAAATTAATAAAAACAAAAGAGTTTTTAACCAACTAAAAAGGTCTATTAAATGGTTTGCAGAGCATTTTTATCTTAAAAAATATTTCAATGCATTTGAGATTCACTGGTATTAAAAAATGTGACTGTAGAAGGGCCAAATATTAAGTAAATCTTTATTCCTATTTCTTAGACTTTTACTGGCATTTTATTGGATGATTTTACCACAAATCCATAGTCACAAAGTATTAAGAAATATATATCGTCAGTAGGTCTATCAAGGGTTTCTTGGGATTATCAAATGATAATATTGAAGTTGATCTATCCCTATTTCTAAGGTTTAACCGCAAAATTCATGGCTTATTCCAGAAATTTCATGGTTTCAGTTTAAAAAGACACAACTTTTTGTTTGTGAGAAAACTTCAAGCAGATAATGTAAAATTTTCAGAAGATATCCATAAAAATGTACATGTATCGTACATTCCCCATTATCATAACATGGGATATTACCTGGCTGCTATTGTGAGCACCGAGTCCAGACAGCTAAACATGGCTCCGTAAAGCAACAGTTTGCCGATCCTCACGTCTACAGGGAGCGCTGCCAGATGTTGTCCGAGAGGAGTCAGGTTCTCAGCCCTGTCCAGAGCTCCTACATGCACCAGTCTTGTGATAGCACCAGTGATGCTCTCTTCTGTCGGCGGCTCCAGCACCTCTCCTGTAAACATTTCAACCTTCACATTCTAGGACACAAGGGTCTAGCTCAGAACCAAATTACAAATTACTTAGGCCTATAGGTTCACAGTGTTACCACTTAGATAAAATCCATTGGTGGTTGGTGGGATTTGAACCCGGGACCTCAGGGACTGAAGTCCTGCATACTACCACCAAATCAGCTTACTCCAACTTTTTGGTAGGGTGATTGGTTAAGTCGTGGAAGTTTTTGTTGATGGAAGAGAGGAACACAGCAAAATACTAACACATGTATTGAAAAAAAATGTTTTACAACAAAGTATTTGCAAACACACCCAGCATTTTTGTGAATCATGTTTTGCAAAATTGTATAGCATTTTGGTGGAGTGAATATCAATATTGTAATTTATTGTACAATACTCAATATTGTAATTCAACCTCCGAGGTTATCGACTGATAGGAATATCTGACTATTAATCATAATTTCTACTTGACTTCTAGATGCACAAGACTCTACAGTAAAAAAAACCTTAAGTTTGGCATTTTAGTTGTAAAGTTTTAACAATGGTCAAGGTATTGCACAGGGCCACAAAAAATTCAAACAAAATTGCCTTATTTGATGGAATGGAGATGATTAAAATTATGATGCTTTGCAAATGTTCATTATAAAACTCTAAGTTATACAGGGTGATTGATATAAGTGTGCCAGCCGTTTTATTCGAAAACTATATGAGATATCAAAAAAAGTTAAATGGTAAGTGCCTTGGATTTTTTATTAAAAAAATTATAGTCGAATCAAAAAAATTATTTTAGCCGCCGTTTTTCCAATATGGCCGCCAACTTTGATTTTTCTTATGGAACACCCTGTATTTTATGATGTATTCTAATAGAAAAAGTAATTTTAAGACAATTTTATTCTTGTGATTTTTTTCATAAACCTAACCGTTTCAAAGATAATAATGGTTTAAGTTGTGAAATTATGAATGGTTTTCGAACCAAACAGCTGGCATGCTTGCTTAGGCCTTTATCGAAACTCTTTCTCATGCAGAAATTTCAAAACTTTAACCATTATTATCTTTGAAACGGTTAGGTTTATGAAAAAAATCATAAGAATAAAATCGTCTTAAAATTACTTTTTCTACCAGAATACATCATAAAATACAGGGTGTTCCAAAAGAAAAATCTAAGTTGGCGGCCATATTGGAAAAATGGCGGCTAAAATAATTTTTTTGACTTGACTATAATTTTTTAAATAAAAAATCCAAGGCACTTACCATTTAACTGTTTTTGATATCTCTTATAGTTTTCAAATAAAACGGCTGGCACACTTATATCAATCACCCTGTATACCGTAGCTGGAGTACATAACAATATTGTTGAAATATGTTGGATTTGTGACTGATCCGAATTCTTAGCTACACCGACACTGACTTAACTTGTTTTAAAATATTAAACATATTTTGTGTTTCAACTTCACTAAGCACACTACAAGTCTTTTACTACAGCAAGAGTAGCCAATAACTAATTCACCAGTCTTCTGAAATGGAGGGTTATTTTGTGAGAATACCATTTGATGAACAGATCTCAAATGTTGAATTGTATTGTTTTGATTAAAAATTTTGGAGAATTTTTTTATGAATTTTCCTAGCAAAACTTGATTTGAAACAACTCATTAGTGTCACAATGAAAATGTTGATACCTGGCCAAGATTTCTATAAACTCCATCACCATCTCTATCTTTAGAAAAAAAGAAAAAAATTGGCCTACTGGGAATTTTCAGACAGAGAAAAGATTTATGTAAAAATGATTACTGAGCTACACTGTCATTACAGAAATTCACTCCTAGTATAATGTTTTGAAGGATTATAATAATAACTTTTTACTGCTATAAAATGTTTTTTTTATATATTTTGATTTTACTTTTTAACTGAACTATTAGTCCACAGTAGCTGTTGCTTTGATTCAATTACAAGGAACTGAAGGAACCCAAGCGTACCTAACACTTGTTGAAGACCAGCACCAGACATTGATGGTAGCATTTTTATTCTCAATATTGTCTGTTCAAGAGGCACTCGCTTGATTTCTGGTATGGGCTGAGCATCCAAGAGATAGTCATACCTGTACAAATAAATATAGACGCATTACAAACAAACAATTTAACTCATCTTAAATGTTGTAAAATAAAGGTATCTTGATCAACATTGGGGAGTTGATAAAAACACTTTGACAAAACTAAGCTGTCAAAAATCAAAATTATCAAACTAGAGAACTTAACTTAATCCTAAAGCTCAGTTAAAACCATAATTGTTTATAATCAGAAAAGATTGTCCCTATGCACTGTGCAGTACATTCAGATATAATTTAAAACATTTGATGGAATCCACTAACCAAAATGATTGTTCATTGTTGGACCATCATTACAAAAATAAATTTGAATAGATACAGCAATAAATTATTATTAAGTTATATTTAACTAACATTCCTACTGAGATAAGTTTTGTTGTTCACAAAAACACATTTCACAAATTACTGTTTGACAAAAGACAAAAAATTACATAATAAAATTCAGACAAAACAAACATAATAGGATAGGAACAAGAATATGTTTAAGGTTCTCCGTTTGAGTAGCCTAACCGACTGCTAAACTAAAACGTCAATTATTATTATCATCGATCAGAACGTTTCCTAGGTGCTTATTTTAGCCCAAATATGAGCAAATGGCGAGTGAAGAATGGTGTAAGATGATCAGTTTAGCTTTGTTACTGACAAAGATCAGCTGTTTTGTTAGCCAGAATCATTTATTTAATGCCAGCTAAACGACGTTTTGATCAGGAACAGCTGGGTTTACAGCATAGTGCTGAATATCTACCACGGCCATTTAAACACCGTCTTCTCCGATTGTGTCACAATCAATAGGCCAATGTATGACAGTCTTGAAGATATAATCTTTGTCTCCTGTGATTTTTGCAAAATCATTTTATAACATCCCTTGGGATGAAATCAGAAATAGCATCATCATTGACTTCTGAAATATTGGAAAACCACTGAATATCTCCTGTGGTTACGTGAACATTAACATCTACTTCTCCTGTCAGGGAAACGTTATCCTAGTCCCCTGCAGTTGCGGTAAAACCTTGGGACATTCCTTGTGATCTCAAAGACATTGCAACTATGTCACACGACCGCAGCAAAACTAATGAATCAACAGTTGATATTGATACAGAAAATATTGATTACAGATCAACTGTTTTGGTTTAAAATAGGGGTGTGCGAATAGTGATTTTCAACCTCGGGCCGAGCCGAGCCGAGCTTTTTTAAAAATTTTCGAGCTCGAGCTTTTTCGAGCCGAGCTTTTCCTAGCGTCACCTTATCTAAATTATTAAACTTTTTTTCTTAAAACAGTGCATAATAATAATAATAATGTTCAGTCAATTTTTAAATAAACACAATGTTATTTTAATACATATGTTTAAAAACATTGAGAATTGTCAAGACACCAAATAGTAGATAATCACGATAAGAACTGAACTAAATTAAGATGCAAGAAATAAAAGGATATCGATTGAAGGGCTGACGAGATATGCAGTGCAGACAGAGACAATCAGATTGTCTTTCATAACAGAGCAGCAACGCGACATTGAATGACGACAGCAAGTCGATTACATAATGTATATTGTAACTACTATGAATATCTAATTCTATTTTGTATAAATAAATGCAAAATAATTTTTAAAACACATGATTATTCTTGTTGTTTTTATTACACAAAATATTTTTGTTTCATGAATTGTATTAATCAAAAAAGAACATGGTTGGTTTGGATCCAAAAAGGTGGAGAGACAAGTAAAAAGTAAACTTATATATTTAAAAAATATAATTGACATATAGAGGAAATAGACCAAAACACTAAAACTAATAGAATAACACACAACGTAAACAAGAAATGAAATACAGAACAGTGATTTAACACTGTCACTGTCACTCAATTTTGTTATCTAGAAGGGTCGGCAAACTAATCAATAAATAGCCAAAACCAGTTTCCTCCCCTTCTCACAGTCTCGCCGCCCCCCTCCCACCCTAAGCCGGGAGGCCCAACACTTTGTCCTTGAAACACCCTAGCCTCTGAAACAATAAACCCTTACACCCGCCTGCGTTGCTGTTTTGACAACAGGTTTATGAATGCGATCACTATTTTTCATTTTCCAGAACTAACTATCAATTATTATTATTTGCAAGTTACAAATAGGAAACTACATCACATTATGGTATTCAATGATCCATGTACTATCAAAAATTAATAATTCATTACTTATTTTGATAATACAAAGCATTCATTACAGCACGCACCCCTTATTGATATATATATATATATATATATATATATATATATATATAATCATCAAAGTAACTACAGAATGAAATAGGTACAAAATTGTGTGGCCAGTCAAACTTTATAAACAAACATTTTATTCTATAAAATATAGATGGTAAATAGGGGTTGGTTTAAAGGAAATAAAATACAAAACAGATTAATTAATTATTTTGATAAACATCAGAAAGGTTATGGGATTGATTGAACTAAAATAACCCAGGGAAAGTTATAAGTAGAAAAGTCGTCAACCACAATCTGTTTAATCAGTACGTTGTTAGAGAGAGAGAGAGAGAGAGAGCAGAGAGAGGGAGAGAGGGGGGGAGAGAGAAAGAGAGATAGCAGATAGGGGCGTTTGATAAGGAATCTGAAAAAGTAAACAAACAATGAACAACGGCACGACGATACTCGTTTACAGCCTTATTGTGTCGCCCACTACATTTGCACATTTTGTTTCTTCCTTATCTTTCATCCGTCCCAAAATAGAATTCCAGAAATAGTTTGTTGGTATAATCTCCCCTCCCACACAAGGTGGTAGTTTGTCTCTTTCCTATCTCCTCAAAATTACGATCGATAATCATTGCGTCTTGATTGAGCTGAGGTTCGTGCTTATCAAACCTCGAATGCATGAACAACGTAGAATTGTGATAACATTGTTTTCAATTACGACCCAAATTAAGTGCTTTTTTTTAGTTTTGACAGTATTAAAAGCTCGGCTTGAACTTCGAGCTTTTTCAAAATGCCTCGAGCCGAGCCGAATAATGAAAAGCTCGACCAAAAAGCTCGAAGATTCGAGTACTCGCACACCCCTAGTTTAAAACTGGTAAAACCTGTAGGATTGCACACTTTTAGGTTACTCACCTGTGTAAGGTGTACAGGTGGACACAAATACCAGGCATGACTCTGCCCGCTCGTCCTTTCCTCTGTAAAGCGTTTGCTCTCGACACCCAAACTGTCTCTAGAGATGCCATGTTCTTGTTGCTATCAAACCTGGAATGTTAAAATGTATTGACATTTATGATCACACAATAATCAATCTTATAGAAAAAAAACTATTTATATATTAAGAGTGCAATGACTGTTTGTGATCGTAATACACACCAGATTTGTCCTACTATCATAATTAACTTATAATAACACGCAGATTATCTTTTTAGATGTACATACAATGTCATTTAGGTTATGTTTGATTTTTTTAAAGGTTATGTTATTTTTTACCAGTTATTAACTGCTAATGTAACGGATTCACAGCTGTTATTGGCCTAGTAATGACAACTGGGAAATCAGCTGATTAAGCGGGCGGGAATGATCCATTCTTGCGCTAGAGAGGCAATGAGCTATTTACATACTGTTTACAGGTATGGCAGTGAGATCATTTCCGTGCAGTGGTAGGAAATGTAGTTTTATTCGTTAAGATTGTTTCAAATAGATCTGTCCCGACTCCCAACACAGTACTTTATTAAATTGCAGAGACACTGCATTAGATGTTATAGTTTGGTATAAAGAAAACAATATATATTTTCAACTTGTAGGCCTAGCATTTTTATTCTTTATTTAGTGTATACATATTTGGATAATTTCATCATTTTATTTACATAGCCTAATTTCAAATAACTATTCTAAGGTACGAAGCTAACAGTTTTTAGGAGTAGCATATCAATTGAAATATCATTTTAACTTGTATCTATAAGTTGTAAAGTAGTTTATTCCCAACTCGCTTCTCAGAAACAGAAATACGTTAAATACTGGTGGTTGAACTTTTATGTCAAATGAGTCAACACTGTACTACTGATATCTTATACTAACATTTTTAGAAGTGTAAAGATGTAGTGAATGAATAGTTGTAAAAAATGAATTTAAATAATGACAGTAGAGTGCATGAAAAAAAACCTTGAATGTCCAGAAGCAAAATGACAAATAAAACCAAATCTTACCTTGTCTCTTTCATTTTTCCACTATCAATCACAAACACACAGTCATCAATGGTAACTGATGTTTCAGCAATATTTGTCGATAAAACAATCTTCCTTACACCATTCTTAGGTTTCCTGAAAAAACATTCTTTGATAAAAAAAGCTTAAAAATTAGGCCTTACATTAATTTGGCAACAAAAGAACAAAATATAGAGACGTTTTTCAAGTCAAGTTGTTGAATAAGTATAAAGCAATGCGAATAAGAGCTAAACTCTTTCATTTATTACATTAGCATAACATTTATTTTTGTAACTCTTTAGTAATGAACATTTCCTAGGATAACGGTGCCAGATCGTCAACATGTCCCATGATCGCAGTACCATCGTGGGTCATTTACAGAACATCTCCCTCAGTTACAAAGACACCATCATTGTCTCTGGAGTTCATGAAACCATTGTGAATATCTCTTGCTATCATGGAGACATCATCGTCCACCATACCGGCAACATCTCCCTCTATCGAGAGACGTCATCATTGTTCACTGTTACTCCCAATGCAGAGAAACACGATGATTTGAACAAATCCAGTCCCGAGAACATCCAAAATAAAGCTTAATCCTGTCCTAATGATAAAACATATATTTTCAAGTACATTTCCTTAAATTTTCAAACTTGTTCACCCTTAGTTTTAATCCTTAATTAATTTGTTACAAATTTATCTTAGTGACACTTCTGCCGAGAACCGATGTACTAAACCAGGTATGAAAACAGCTCAAGTTAAATAAGAAACAAAAGTACTCACTCAAAAACCTGAGCTTGCTCTTCACTTGACAAGCTTGAGTGAAGTGGTACAAGCTTGAATCTATTATTTCTTGGATTAAAGGTCTGGTTGTTGGAGAGCATGTCGTGCATTTCCCGGATTTCCTGCATACCTGGGAGAAAAACCTGAAAAATTGAAGGCGTTCTTTAAAACTGTACGTCAGTCACTTTTACCACCACCGAATATCTTGGATCTTAGCCGAGGTCAGGTTGCTGTGAGGAAACGATGATTTATCATAGGCCCAACATATATATTTCAGTTGTTGAGTTTTGCCAATAAATAAGTTGGTAAAGTTGGTTGGATAAGTTGGTAAGTTGATAAATAAGTTGGTGAGTCGGTTGCTCAGTCGGTAGTGTCGCAGACTTCGGGCCCAAGGCAGTAGTGTCGTGGGTTCGGATCCTGGTCACTACCACTAACTTTTATCAGTACAGTTCACCTTTGTACTGTACCGGCTCACCCCTTGCTTTGCTGGATACGTTCCACGCACAGATCTGTAGTCTATGTGGACGGGCAAATGCAAGGTTAAAAGAGGCCACCAACCTCTTAAAAAAAAAAGTTGGTGTAGTGTGACTAGATTTTAGTAGGCCTATTAAAGTACCTACTATCATTGACTATTAATAGTCAAAGCTACTATTAAATGCAAAAACTGGAAAATATGTCTTTCTCTCTTTAAGTTGTTAAAGGGAAGCTGAGTGGCTGGTTTACGATTTTTTGGAGAAAGTTGGAGTCTTTAGAGGGCAATATAAACACAATCATGAAGCTAAAAGATATTTTCTGATGGAATCCTATATCAGTGTTGTGTTTTGTGCCATTAAGCCACTGGAGACTAGGCCTAACCCACCCGGGTCACCTAGCTAAACTTAATTGAGTTGTTAACATTTTGAAATATTCTAAAATTAGGTTTACTTACAAGAATCGACCCCTCCTTAGGAAACTGGTGATCTCCATCAACCAGGTACAACAATACTGTCTCTATCAGCTCGTAGTTTATTCTCTCATGGTCCATCAGGTAAATACTTTTCCAAGTATGTCTGCTGTAATCTAAGGAAAAGTACAATTACTATATTTTATTTAAACTAATCAAACACTGATATAGTTGTAGTTGGTATTATTTAAATTATTCATATATAACAATGTCGATAATTAAATGATAGAACTATTGACTGTTACTGCTGGATTTAAATAAAAAAATCAAAAGCAAATCAAAATCGATTAGCAAATATACACCACAAAACTTGTAATCCAGGACAGAACTTTGACCATATGAAATGATCAAACACAAATATCTTTGAAGGAAAGTAGTGTTATTTGTAGGGATATAACTGTGTTGACAATACAATAAGGTTGTTTAAATTCATATTTTATCAACAACAAATGTTACAGAGGATGATTTTCAACCATTATTCTTTTCAATCATGAGGAGGGCTCACAAGGGAAAAAATCACGAGAAATATTGGAGTAAAAGAGGAAACAATACAAGACAGGAAAATTGCTGGCCAAAAACCTCTTACGGCTCAAGTGGCCATCAACGTTGGTAAGTATGAATAATTAATCAAAAGAGAGAAAAATAAATATGAAATGTTAAATAACATTTCAATGGATAAATTGATCTTGTTTCGTTTCAGAACTAATACCATACTACTGGGAATAAACTGGTCTTGTGGTAGAGCGCAGGCAATCACCAACGTGTTTTACTGTTGTATCTATCTAGGCTATGTGATAACAACATGAACTTCTTGGCCTAGTCTGAGGAAATGTAAAAAAACGGTGACTAACGCCCCCGGATGTGAAGGCGAGAAGTAAAAAAATATGACACTACTCACCCTTGTACCTATGACACAGCTGTTTGACAGTTAAGTCATGATCAGCTGTTTTGGCATTGCTGATAACTCGTCCAGACATGACGTCAGCCAACTCTAGCTCTGTCTCTAGTGTCTCCAACTGGTTCATACTCGTCTTGTTGAGCTTCCTACAGTACTTGGAAGACTCTTCTATCACGTACCCGGTTGCCTCCACAATGTCTTCCAGGAACAGCTGTTCTACTGGGAATGTACGACCTGGAATGAAACAACACCAACTTAAAACATACGTTGAACATACAGTTAATTCCCCTCTTAACTAACTGTGTGTTTGTTGAATCACAAAGTTGATTAAAACAGAAAACTACGCAAACATGTAAACTGTGTGTTTAACTCATGTGTTAAAAAAATTGTAAGCAAAATTTTTATGTTTTATAAATAAGGGAAGTGTTTGTAGATGAATGGCTATAGCAGTTTGAAAAACAAATTTAAGTAGTTGGGCCTAAAATAATTGTTAGAAAGGATATCAAAAGATTGTTGATAAACTGAGATGATTAGACTATTGAGGAGGCAATTGATGAAACTTAAAAATAAGAAAGATTGGAAGATTGGTTACTAGAAGAATGTTAGGAATATCCATTTAATTGAAGTGAAGGAAAGACAAAGAGACCAAGAAAAAACTGATAACATGATGTAGAAGAAGAATCAAGATAATTGTGAGATGTGAATAGAAATGGTTGGAGATGTATTGTGAATGAAGTAGGAGTCCACATTGGGATGCAGCAGGGGACTAAGAGTAAAACCTTTTCAAGATAGGAAGAAAGCTGTTATAATATCCGTTTTAAGACACATTACCTGGAATATCAACGACAGGAACATCGTTGAAGTACTTGCAGAACAATTCTGCATTCAAAGTCGCAGACATGAGTATCACCCGGATGTCTGGTCTTTGTGGGAGAAGCTTCTTCAAGATTAGCAGCAGAAAATCACTGTAAAGGAACATCATGATTTTTGGCCAAATAAAGCAATTGAAGTAAAAACCGATTAATAAACTTTTAGTTAATAAAGTTTTGTACCGGTACAAAATATGTAATTTATATTTGTTTGGGATTTAATTACAAAAGAATGCAAAATTTGCCTTAGGAAGAAAAAGATATGGTATACGGAGGCCATTGACTTAAAACATTCGTACACAACATACTTTTAAAGAAGTAGTTTGACATAAATCTTGAGAGGAGTAGCGAAACAGTGACTGCCATGTACCTTTCCTCACTGCGCTCGTGAACCTCGTCTACAATAATGTGAGAGACGGAGGTCAACTGAGGGTCAGCCTCAAGCCTCCTCAGAAGGATTCCTGTCGTGCAGAATGTGAGCCTGGTCTTCTTCGATACTTTACTTTCCAGTCTTATCTGTAATTGAAGGTGGAAACATTTTGTAAAGCTTTTGTAATAGATTTTTAAAATATGACTAATATGCACTCGTAAATATTGGTGATGGTTTATTCGAGTGAATTTCCAGTGCTAGGATAAGTTGTGTGGCAGTTATTTCTTGTCTTTTGCTTCAGTTAAAGTCCCTTCCTACTAAAAAAAAACATAACCTCGATGATGTAGAGTGTTGACTAGTGCCAACCTTATCATAGTTAAAGATATGTTTGACAAACTTTAATGGAAAATAAATAAATATGATACATAATAGTTAACTGGTTATCTACAGTCCTTACAGTCTTACAGCAATTAGCAAAACATTTGACATTTAATCAGGTTATTTAACCTCTGTTATTTCGCGCAAACTCTGCCAAACGCTGCCCTAGTCTTAATTTAGTGCAAAAAATCCTTAAACCGTCGCTGAATTATTAAATGCCGGATCAGTCTGGTTTTACTGTAGATCTTAACTTTCTCTCTTTTCAACTCCCTCCAAATAAAAAAAGGTAAATAACCATGTTTAACCATGTTACCATGTTGCATGTTGGGCTACATGTAACACTCACCGAATATCCGATGCTCGCGCCGACACTCTCCAATCTCTCATAGGCCACTCTCTCAGCCACTCCTATCGCAGACAGTCTCCGAGGCTGTGTGCAGATCACTTCTACGTGGCTAGTGTCACCGCGGGCTCTCCTACGCAGCCAGTCGTCCAGTATGTACTGCGGAACCTGCGTAGACTTGCCACATCCTGTAGCTCCACTAACTACCACTACTTGACTCTTGGATAACTGTTGAACACATCGTAAACATTTGAAAACTACATAAACTAAACTTAACTACTCTTATAGTTTATAATGACTAGTTTCATGAAACAAAAAACAATCCAAAGGGCTTTTACATGGCTAGAGGTTACTTACTATGGTATCTATTACGCTATCCAACAATATTTGCTATTTATCTACTTTGTATTTTAACGTAATGATAAAAAAGCCTAAATCACTCACGGATGAAAGGATTGCCTCCATTTTACTAAACGCTGGTAGTTTTCTTCTTTGTTGAAGCATCGTCTTGTACCTTGGACTTACCTCTTTTTGCTCGAAACGCTTTGCCAGTTCACTGTCATCTCTGAAAAAATTATAGTGTGAAAGATTGAACATTACAGTCTGAAAGATTCAATATGTTCACTTGAGGTACCTACAACAAATTGAGAAAAAAAAACTACAACCAAAGCAAAGTAAAGGTAAAGGAAAAATATTGGGATTTTACAAATTTGTTTGTTTAGTGGAAGTATGATGGAGGTTCCAGCAGGTGTTGACTATGAGTATGTCCTCATACAGACTAAGTAAGGGCACCTTTTTAGTGCTGAAGATAGTGAAATCTGTGGATTACCATAAGTCGGTTTTTAGTTTTAAGTCAATTATAAACATTTATCGGTGATTAATCCACAGGCTATATCATCATGAAAATAAAAGAACCATGCTTAGTTAATATTTAACTTACTGAGGTAAACAAATTATTAACTACAGTAGAACCTCTCTTAGCCTAACTGAAATGAGGACCAAACAAATTGGTCAAAGAAAAGACACTGAATAATATCTTAGACAAATGAAGAGAAATGAAGTGACGAACAAAACAGGGATGGCACGGGGTTCCTTGACTGCCGCACAATGGAAACTAGACACACACTACCCACATACACTGTGATTTACGTCCGTCTGCTAGAAGTAGCAGAAACAGATGCTAGTCTGTCAGTGCTGCTTCAAATAGTGGTGTTGTTGCAAAAATGTTGTGAGAAGAAAAACAAGCTTATACAAATTTTACCCCAGTAACATAATTTATCCAGGTCTATTATACATATTACCTAGCCTTAATGTATATTTAAAATATCCCATAACCTTAACATGTACGCAAATTACATTGGCTCTATTGGAAAATCTTAAAATGCTAAAAAACAATTTAAAAGATTTTTTGATAGAAAAAATAACCTCACCCATTTGTTATAGTAAATAGAAGATCTATCTTCTCATGCACTTCAGAACATTAAAACACTTGAAATTGTTATCAAATTTAATTCTTACTGTTCCAGTTTCTCTTTGATTTTGTCCTTGCTGAGAGTCGCTGGCCGATATACCTCCAGCTCTTCATCAGATTCAATCTCCTCTAAGCAACTTGACACAACCTCAGGACACAACGGCACAGCAGGATCCAAGATACAGGGGGCCGGGCCTCTTGCATTTATTACGTCTAGAATCTGTCAAGACAAATAAAACCAATTAGAACTTTACTATCTCCAAACTTTTGATCTTACATTCTACATTTGACTTTAGATCCTGAATGAGACATCATGGTCAAGCTGTTTCCAAGTATTATCTTGTAACCTTCACAGAGTTTGGCTGTTTTGTAATTAATTATCCTCTGTAAGTTTTAGTTTTGTTTACGATAGCTCAGATGTCGCACATGATGGTAAATATCACAATAATTTCAAGAGTTATGCAAGACAGAAAACAGTAAACAAAAGAACAAAAGAATTTGTTTCTACTCATTGAATGCTCAATCCAATATAGACTACGGCACATAAACATAATGAATGCCTTGACAATTATTTAGACAATTATCCAAGATCAGAGTACTTAAAGACTCAATGTCTGTAAAATGACAAAATTAACTTTCCTGGAACTAGCTTTAGCTATAAAGCAAAAAGATTTAAGAATATAAATTAAATTATCAGAACAGGTCCAACTTTAACAATGGAATCTCCACTTTACATTGTTTGGGATGAAACCATTGTTAAATAGCCAACCAATACCACTAGTGTTATCAACTTACTTCATCTTTGTTATGCAGCTCAAACTTGTCAATGAGCGAGTACACACAGGGGAACTGGCTCTCGGCTTGTTCCTTGCAGAAGGTTTGTAGGTAGTAAGTGAGCTTCAGTCTCGGGGTGGACGGCATGTTATCACTTTGAGGTGTGAACGCTACCAGAGGGGGGTCTCGAGGATAGCAGCACCCTATGGTTAAGAAACTTATCAGTTAACAAAGTTAAATACTATTACTTACTAAATAGTTTTCAATTAAGTAGCCTAAATGCTGGATTAACTTCAAACCAATCCCAATTTATCATCATAAAGAGCGACTGCATAGGCAAGAAGGAATAGAAAATACACAGGCAAGGGAGACATTGCTTTAACGATGACAAGACAGATGGGTCAGTCCATGTCAAATCAACACACCTATTTTACCTCACCATCTTAGATTTTGATGAAATTTGGTATATAGGTTACCTTTATGAAGACTAAAAAAAATACCAAATTTCAGCTCAATATCTCAACCCGTTCCCAAAATACGGCCATTTGAAATTTTCAAAAAACGGTCAAAATCGCGCTGCGGTAAAACTTTAAAATAGTCATAACTCTTCTCCTGTTTAAGCTAGAAACATGGGAGAGGTGTCATTGTTTAGCCCTTTTTATGCCCTTTCTAATGATATACAACACATAATAGGTTATGAAAACAAAAATTTTGTCAAATTCAAAAATAAATTTTCAAAATCAAATATTTTGAAAAACACATATTTTATTTTTTTCAAAAAAATATATTAAGTTGGTTATATTATCCCTAATGTGTACACCAAGTTTGGTTATGGGATTGCAATGGGTTCATGGTTAAAATAATGTTTTATTAGTGGTGTTTTTTACTACATCAACGCAATTTAGGTTAAAATAAAATAAAAATCTCATTAAAAAAATCTGGGTGGATAAAGATCCATAGGAAAATAGGTATAATATCAATGTTACCAGTTATTAACTAATTTAAATTAACTAACTGGAAAAACCTACAAAGTATATCCATCCCTTGTAAATATTCTTAAAATAATAACATGATAAAATACCCCCGCCGCAGCAAACCTGCAGACTAAGCGAATTTCCATTTCCCTGAATGGATTTACACTAAAATGTCTCCTTAAAAATATCACATTTATTCCCTACTAGCTGTGTACCCGTTCTACGCACGGGGATCTTATAATATTCAGTTGAAACCTTCTTATATAACGAACAGCAGTTGGTTTGCATATTTTAAGATATGCTGGCCAAACTATTATACATAGCTTCATTTTATGTTGTTTTTTGTTGTTCCGGATCGGTATGACAATCAATAAAAGGTTAAATTACCACTGTGTCTGCCGGTCGATCCTATAACGGTAGGCTTACTTTTATTTTTACTATCTGATCTCGTTTGCATGGCTCAATCACGTCCTGGTTGAAGTTCGTTCGCTACGCTCACTCACCTGTATGTTGGAGCTCGTTCGCTGCGCTCACTTTCCTTCAGGTTAGCTCGTTCGCTACGCTCACTTGCCTTCAGGTTAGCTCGTTCGCTACGCTCACTCGCCTCCAGGTTGCAAATTAGCTGTTGTCATAAATGTAAAAGAAATAATAGTGCTAGTGCTGCACCCTGTTGGTAATCCTTGTAACTTTAATGCTATTGAACATCACAGAACAGAACCAACTTGTTTAATTGAAACAGCTGTTAAGATTCAATAATTTCATTTCTCATAAGGTTAACATGGGCTTCCAGAAATTCCACGTCAAAAATCGACAAAAACTTGATTTTCAAGGGTTTACTGTTAAATATCTAACTGTCTCATATTCGATGAAATACGTCTAAAACCATCTCATATATGTATAGTATTTGGAAAATAAGTTTCAGGCGGGACAGTGCTATAGTTATTGAGGAGTAGTTGTAATAAAGTGCGTATTTTAGCGTTACCAAGAGAATGACAGATAGACAGACAGACAGACAGACAGACAGACAGACAGAAATTGAGATAAGGTTTGATTCGGTTTCTCTGACCTATGAAATGTAAAAATAACCAAAAAGTTCATTATTCTAAGCAATGTACAGACAAAACTCTAATTTTATTTATATAGATTTAAAAAGAATCAGTTTAAAACATACTTAGGTTTGCTGCAACAGGGAGGGTAAAAGTGTTTTTTATGTAAAATGTTAATAGTTGGTAAGAAATGAAAACATTTTCCAAATTTGGGCAAAATATGTTAATAAACAAGCAAACTACAACAGTACTTATTCTCCATAAGAATAACATAGAAATTTTAAATTTACAATTTTTTGGAATTTTTTCCGTAACTATTAGGCGCATTATAACGCTTCAATATACTAAATTATTTGTTTTTTCAAGCTCTACAAAATAGTTTAGAAAGAAATTGCAAAATTTTATGTTTTTTGGGTCAAAAATGGGAAAAACCCATTTTTACCCCATAAAAGCCCCCATAAACCCCCGTTCCCATGGTCCGATCATGCTGGTTCGCGAACTCGTTCGAATAAACTTAGGTTTACACGTTTGTACCAAATTTCATCAAAATCGGATCATTTTTGCTCGAGTTATTGCGCTAACGGACACACATATATATATATATATATATAAATATATATACCCCCGTCGCAGCAAACCTGCATACTAAGCAAATTTCCATTTACCCGGCTTGATTTCTACTAAAATATTCCCTATAAATTTTCAGATTTATTTCCTATTTAAATAACATTAATTTTAGTGAGTAGTTAGGTTTGCTGCTAAGGGGAAGATGTTGTGGTGTGTTTTTCAATTGAAATATTGATAGCTTAGTATGAAATAAACCAAATTGCCGAATTTAAATTAAAATATATCCATAAACAAGCAAACTAGAGCAGTTTATTTATTCTCCATAAAAATAACATGGGAATTTTAAATTTACAATTTTTTAAATTTTCTCCGTAGTCAATGAACATTCAAAAACACTTCAATATACTAAATTATTTGTTTTTTAAAGCTCTTCAAACTGGTATAGAGAGAAATTTAGAAATTTAAAGTTTTTAGGGTCAAAAATGAGAAAAACCCATTTTTACCCCATAAAACCCCCCATAAACCCCTGATCCCATGGTCCGATTATGCTGGTTCGCGAACTCGTTCGAATAAATGTAGGTTTACACGTTTGTACCAAATTTCATCAAAATTGGATCAATTTTGCTCGAGTTATCACGCTAACGGACACATATATAAATATAGGCCCCTATATATATATATATGAATTTGAACGGATGGTGTTTTTGGCCTCTGGGGACCTCAAAACGAAAAAGTAAATCGGTCCCGGGTCTAGGTCTTACCATGAGACCTACGGTAATAGCTTATTTCCTATATGGGAAATTCGCTAAAAATGAATTTTATAAAATTAGCTCAAGGCGTATTTGGATATATTTTTTTGCTTCCGACATTTTTCATTTATATTAATTCATATATTTAATTGCAAGCTGAGTAATACTGTTCCCAGCAATTGTGCCATTATCATCTCTTGTGATATGTGTGCACCACAGACTTCAAATGCAATATGCAAACTGAACAAACTCTGTAGTGCTAGTGGACTTGAGCTTGTATCAACTTGAAAAACAAGTAGAGACATGAAAACTTCCTACAGGTAGAAACAAGAGATGATAATGGCACAATTGCTGGAAACAGTATTACTCAGCTTGCAATTAAATATATGAATTAATATAAATGAAAAATGTCGGAAGCAAAAAAATATATCCAAATACGCCTTAAGCTAATTTTATAAAATCCATTTTTTTATCATGTTATTATTTTAAGAATATTTACAAGGGATATACTTTGTAGGTTTTTCCAGTTAGTTAATTTCAATTAGTTAATAACTGGTAACATTGATATTATACCTATTTTCCTATGGATCTTTATCCACCCAGATTTTTTTAATGAGATTTTTATTTTATTTTAACCTAAATTGCGTTGATGTAGTAAAAACCACCACTAATAAAACATTATTTTAACCATGAACCCATTGCAATCCCATAACCAAACTTGGTGTACACATTAGTGATAATATGACAAACTTAAAATAATTTTTTGAAAAAAATAAAATATGTGTTTTTCAAAATATTTTATTTTGAAAATTTATTTTTGAATTTGACAAAATTTTTGTTTTCATAACCTATTATGTGTTGCATATCATTAGAAAGGGCATAAAAAGGGCTAAACAATGACACCTCTCCCATGTTTCTAGCTTAAACATGAGAAGAGTTATGACTATTTTAAAGTTTTACCGCAGCGCGATTTTGACCGTTTTTTGAAAATTTCAAATGGCCGTATTTTGGGAACGGGTTGAGATATTGAGCTGAAATTTGGTATTTTTTTTAGTCTTCATAAAGGTAACCTATATACCAAATTTCATCAAAATCTAAGATGGTAAGGTAAAAAATATGTTAAAAGTGTGTTGATTTGATATGGACTGACCCAGATGGTCAAACATCCAAAAAGCAGCTTGGACAAGAGCCCTTACCCTGGATATAAGGGTCTGGGTGAAAAGGAATAATGGAGAGTCAGGCTATTATCTGACTCAGTTTCTTTTATAGCACAGGGACTTTAAGGAGTACCTCTTTTGTATGTAAAAGGTGCAAATGGTAATAGCAGGTGCTGTGGTTAAGAAGACACGCAAGAACACACTGTGAGCTTCGGGCCCAACAGAGAAGACAATGCTTGCTGGAACTTGGAATCCTGGTAAGAGAAGACGTTGTAAGAGGTTTGCCAGTGGAATATGGTGTCTGAGCTGGTTGGAGATTATCAGGGTAAGGACATCGAATCAAGGCAAGATAACATCGATTTAGAAATAGCCCAGGGAGATGATTAAGAATGCAGAGGTAAAAATGAAATTATCGATACTAAACGGACTTGTAGGCCTGAAGATGGTTCATCCATGAACTAAAACTATAGTCCATTCACAAAATTGAGGCGGTTTGGGCGGTTTGAGGGGAAGTTGCCCCACTATTTTTTTCTTAATGTTTATGTTGCAGCTGATTGGCGCTTTAGCAAACTTCAGCTGTTGAGCTATTGTTTTAAAGGTAGGATCAAGTGTAGGGGATGGATTTCTTCCCCTAAAACTGCCTAAATTTTATTAACAATGTATAGTTGCCACTACAGTATCAACCAAGGATTTTTTTTGCAGGTAGCCAAATGATTTTAAAGTAATAGTACCGTATTTGCTTGAAAATCCTGATCAAAATTGCAATGGGGATAAAATAACACTCTAGTAATATTAAACTAGATATAAAGACAATGGTTATTTCATAAGTGAAATTTAACCTCTGGCTACCTATATAATAACTATCCTCAACTCATAATTTTGTTAAAAGTTTCTGTTTTAAAAATAGATTAGTTGACTTAAAAAAACACAAACTATTCTGTCTCTATTTAGTTTTGCGTACATGCAACAAAAATAGGCAAGGACATTGAAAATATAAACAGCCATACAAGCATACCAACCTTTTGGGAATCTGATTTCCAAGTCAAACTTTGTCGCAGTTTCTTTACGGGCATCTTCAGCTGCACATTTAACAACCACTTTGTTTACGGGTGGTTCATGAGAAAACCGACAGTTACTCCCATAACTACAATGACCTTTTACAAAGTTTCGACACATTCCTTTTTTGTTAGAAGGGGCTTTACTAGGTTTATGTATTTTGATCGTCGCCTCGAGCTCACTTTTTGTCCTATTATTGTAATTTTCTAAAATGTACGGCAGGTCCAAATGCACTATCCACAGCTGGTTGGAAATCCGTTCTTCTAACATTTGTCCGAATATTTCTTTCACCGACTCCAATTCTTCATTCCGTTCTTGCAATACATCTTCAGGCACATCGGTGTCTTCCACGGGGAGATTGACTCCCATATAGTGTGACATTAAGAACTCAAAGGCCTTTCCGAAATCACCTTTGGTAACTTGAAGGGCTTCCGCACAATGGTTCTTGTGGAATCCATAACTAAAAAGATTAAAAACATGTATTGTCAGCTAAATACAAAACGTCTTAGGTAGGCTATAAGTGTATACAAATTAACTTGGCTACCATTATGATTGAACGTGTAAAAGGTAATACTATAGATAGGTAGGCCTTTTTAACAATTATCAAACTTTAGTTTCCTCCAGTTTGCTATTTGCTTATATTTTGGATGAGTTAAAAACAATATTCCTAGACAGTCTTAAACTTATCCCAAAATTTAATAAACAAGTTTTTGATTAGAACTTTGATATACCGGTACAATTCTACTGGTTCAATTGGTTTTTATGATAGATTTCACCGTTTTGATTTATTTTTGATTGATAAAAATACTGAAAATATCTTATCGGTTTTTGGTTTTGTAAACACTGTGGGATATCAACTATCAAAGTTTCATTTTCTGGTATCTTATTCTTAGCCTACATAATACATATAAAACGGCGAATATAGGTACCCTACTTGATGAAGATATATATTTGATGTTTTATATTTGATATTGTTGAAGATATATATTATATCTTCATCAAATAGGCAGGAAACGTTTTCAACATACTTTTGCAGGCGGTTCAAAGCGAATACATTGAGCCTTTCGTGAGGTAAAAGTGCCTTCTTTTTTATCATCGAGTAGTCCGTTGCTCCCTGAATTACTAGGTGACCTCGGTCTACCCAATACTGATTAGCAAGGTTCACCTTGCTATCTTTATAATCCGAAATCTTTTTAGCTTCGAAGTCCTGAAAAGAAAAGGGCACAAAATGAATACCACAAAATAAGTAGTGAAATGGTACCAATAACATTATGACATTAGAACAGCATTATATGGCCCCTTCCTTATAATGTTTTAAACAAACATATTATCCAATGATAAGGGGTTATCCACACTGTGACTATATACAACATGTGATTAAGTTGTTCTATTTAAGCTTTCAATTTAACCAATAAGGTCTGCACAGGTTAATTACATGGAATGATTGAGATGAGATGGGTGAGGCATTTGACACCCGTTACTAAAAGCATTTTAAGCCAACACAACAAAACAAGCAGCATCAATAATTTTTACATATACCTGTCCGAAAGGTAACAAGCTCGACTTTTTTGAGACTTCTGTGAAATGCCCTCCAGTGAAATAATGTCCCAAGCTAGACCCATATCTAACTTAATTATCATGATATAGTGTCATCTAAATGTCCAACCATTTTGTTTATAATTTTGTGTTGTGCAAATTTATCTCCTAAAACTGTGGCAATATTGCTTAATACAGAGGTTGTGCAAGAGTTTGACAATGCCAAGCCTGCAAAACAGGACTTAGGACATTTCACATGCCATTGCAGATAAATTAAAACTATCTAGGCCTACTATTGAGTTTACACACCTCCCCTTGGATAAATTTAATAGTTTCTAGGAGTTTAGTTCTGGCTTCTTCTGAGATGACAAGATTCGTCATTTCCACTTTTAACTGCCGCTGCTTATCTATAGCCTCCATCCTCTTGGAGGAGCCCTTTTGGGCTACCTCCACTGTCCAGTCTTCTGACTCCATCAGATTCCTAAAATTGATTACACAGTGTAAGGAACTTTTGTTTGTCGGCGCCAATGGGTAAAATTACACAAGCTGGTTTTAGAGTAGATCTATTGATCAAAGGGAAAAGAATGAAAACATCAACGATGAAAATCATGTTCTTGTTAGGTAAGTTACTAAAGGCCTTTTATTAATAGAGCAAATATGCTACTTGGGCTAAGTGTGGTGAAATTGGCTCTAGGTCTAGAAAAGGGTACAGTTTCTTAACTGGGCCACGCTAATATCGATTCGATTAGTGAACCTTCATGCGATGTTTTTACCATCAGCAAGTTTGGTGGCTGCACTTTACTTTAGGTCCTACACAAACAAACGAATGAAATAATGATTATTCGATATATCAATCGATATTTTAATTCGAATGATGTAGGACGTAAAATAAAGTGCAGCCAGTTTGGTTGGTTGGGTTAGGTTTTTATTTTATAATAGATATAGCCTATTTAAAAAATATTGATTATTAATCAATAGGCTATTTTCAATTCGATAGTTTCAATCAATATTAGCATAGGCCTAGCCCAGCTAAGAAACTGTAGGTACGGTACCCATAGAAAATGTAAGTAATATGCCTAAGGAGAACAGCTGTATAGGCTAATTTGTAATGAACATAAGTTAGCCTATATGCAAGTAGGCCTAAGTAGGCTAACTTACATTTAACTGTTTGTTAACCAAGAGTTGAAACTAGGCAAGTTAGCATGGAATACCTTGTAAGTAGGTAGACCTAAGGGAACTTCGTACTAAAAAACAAAAAAAACCTGGTACAGTACAAAAAAACTACAACTATACCTAGCCCTAACCTAGGCCCTACCTAAAACCTTTGGCCTGTTATTGAGTTAAAACAAAACTAGGCCTAAGTTAGGGTAGGCTAGTAGGCAAGTAAAAACAAAAATTAGAGTAGGATCTACAGCTAGTCAAAATACTTATAAAAACCTTAGGAAGCCTATAAGGCTTAGAACAAAACAAGAAACTGATTGCATCACTGGCTTACTCAATATTGAAGACCTAGCTCTCCAGTCATTTGTGAATGGTGATTCTAAGAGTACTAAACAATTGTCCATACAGTTGCTATTAATTTTTAAGAACCGTTTGATTCAAAGAACAACTTTGATAGGGATAAAAAAAAATTATGTCAAGAATTTGTTAAAATTCTGAAATAAGTCATTCACAAAACCAATTTGCACTTTGCAGTTGAAGGGTTGATATTGAGGACACATTGAGGATTGAGGTTAAGTTGTTCTGTTTCTGTTCTGTTCTGTTAAGTAAGACAGTTTTTTCAAACGCCTGTTTTCAGGTTGTAGGGCGTTCAGCGTTGATTGTAAGGCATGCAGCTGTAAATTATCATCTCCTTCAAAATTAAATGATTATAATATATATTAAGTTTGTTCAAAGTGTACATATTTGTAAGCCTACGTCAACATTATTACAGGGGTTGTAGTTGTTATTGCTTAGATTGCTTATTACACATGGTATGCACCATCACGGCCGCCTTTAAACAGGACGTGGCCTGGTAGAATTATTGGCAACGTTGCAAGTGGTGTTGGTTAGTGACAGACATCCCTTAAGATAACATGGCAGACAGATGACCAGCTCATTAAATTCGCACTTTATTGATTTAAATTTAAATATATGAACATAAATTTATTAAAACATTGTAAATAAAACTTACAGAATTGAAAACCAAAACAATATGAATTAAAAATCTTACATGTACATTTTAAGCGGAGTTAATATAGTCATAGTCAAGTAACCAATCTTTCCTAAATACACAAATACATAGCTGCTTCCAAACAAAACAGCTGTTACAACACCACTTGCGACGTTGCCACTTCAAAGGCCGCGGCCTGGGGCCCATTTAATAAAGTTCAAACTAATATTATTAGTAAATCAGCTAATTGCCCAATGCAAATCTAATGGAAATTACAAGTTAGTTGTAACTTGTAACTTGTAGTTTATTATGAAATGGGCCCCTGGAGTTAAAGGCGGCCGTGGCACCACCAATGAGTGGCCGGAGGACTGTACACAGTACCATATACGCATATACTAACCCACAACAAGTAGACTTCTGTTGTAATTTGTAAATTGAAAAATAAATAATGTAAATAGTATATGCGTATATGGTACTGTGTACAGTCCTCCTTTTACAATTATTGTAAAATTGTAAATGTCCGGTGTCACTGGGCGATAGTTTTGAAGATTTTTTTATGGTTTATTTAATGATTTGTGATTTACTGTTTGATTATATAAATAGGGTACGTAAGTTACTAGGGTACGTCATGGTTATTTTGTTTTATATGGTTTTATTTGGCTAAATGAGGTTTTAAATGGCTGAAATAACAAGAAACAAATTGTAAACAAAACACGACCTCTAAAGTGCACCGGATAGAACTAACAATAAAATTGGCTAGGATGAGAAATAAATATACTAAGGGAGTATATTTTATCTATGACAACTATGACAGTAGCCTCCCCGTGAAACAAAGATGATAAAAAATAAGCAATCTCGATAAAATTCTAAAATTTGAGCGACTACCCCATAGCGACCAACAGCGACAACCCCTTCTTAAAACCTAAAAAAATTAAACCCTAATTTTTTAGCATTTAACTTTTAACAATTTTCTTGAGGAGGGGCCTTCGGGCCTCTTATCTCTTATCTCTACGTCAAATAACACTTATAATAATATATTTACACTTACTGTTTACTCACAAGACGGTAAATACAAAATACATATAAAAGATGGTAAGTGGTGATCGATTTCGATTGGACACTCCAATCATCATCAGACTCAATAGGCGAATCTCAACATTATTCTATGCGAATCAACATAGGATTCGCCTATTGGGTCTGATGATGATTGGAGTGACCAATCTAAATCGATCACCACTTACCATCTTTTATATGTATTTACCGTCTTGAGAGTAAACAGTATAAAGTGTAAAAATGTATTATTATACGTGTTATTTGACGTATCTTTTTGCTTTCAAGATCTCAATACCTAGCTGTTTGGGATACCTATATGCTATGCAACAAGTACCACAGTGTCCACACTGACCAGTGTCATGCCTCGTTGCATTTTGGGAATGCAGTTTCACCTCAATTTAATTACTAAAAGTTATGCATGTTAGATAGAGTTTAATGTGAATTTATAATTGTTGGTATTTATTACTGTTTATGATTTGTAATGTATTGCAATTGGTGCTGACCGTTCGATACAAAATCTGATTTTTAAGGGTTAAGCTTAAGCAATTTTCAAACTTACGTGGCTTTTCTATCCACCGATTAAAATTGTGTTGTTTTTGCCTGAACGATTACCTCAGATTTGACTTGTACCATCGGCATTAGAGACTACAAGAGTTTTGAGGAAGCGATGATACGCCAAGAAATGTGACCTTTGACGTCATTGAAGGGGCAGAGGTCAAGGTCCTTCTCACGCTCACTGACAGACATCTAAATCATAAACTACACATAATTAAACCCAACAAACCTAAAAGAGCGTCTAAAAAGACCGCGGATAGGCGGCTTGGAGTTTGTGACTCATCACTCATGTCGTACAACTTGGTTAGGCTATTTTATGATATTTTTAAAAGTCAATCAATTTGATATTCAATTGAGTTTATTCGTCAAAACATACAGTACTGTACGGTATATAAAATATAAAACCATTGATTAAGACATAAGACATAAGACATTTATTGATCTTTTGGCAAAATTATATGCAATCGATCTTGTCATAAGTACAATAGTAAAACATGCTTCACTAATAAAAAAATAAAAAATAGTGTTCATTCTACAAAATTAAATACCTTTATTAAATAGAATGTCTATTTACCAAAGTAGACATTCTAACTATCCTATACGGAACAGCTGTCCGTAATTTCTTAAGTAAAATGGATTATATTTAAATTATCCCATCAATTGAGGTCTGTCAAAATTCGATTTACTCTAATATAGTTTTTGGTACAATGATAGAGTATAAATGGTTCTACAGATAAAAGCAGTTGCGTTTTGAGTTTGGTTAGGTCAAATGAAAACAAATAACAGTGTAAAAATAACAGTATTTTGTAGCACTCTCTGTCGGAGGCTTGATTTTAATCACGTCCATAGTTATTATTGAAAATAAACTGCCTGCAACTTTAACATGAAAATATAGAGTGACTTGCGACACCAGAAACTGTACCCAGCTGTCCCTGATTATTGGGCTTCAAATGGCTACTAAAACATCTGATCTTAGTAAGAAACAAAGCTACAAAAATCCGCTCCATTCTACATCCATCCAACTCATATTTGGGTTAAAATACTCACCAAGGTGGCATCGCGATTTCAATTAATTAATATTGATTTGTAGCTTTTGTTAACTCTAGCTCTTCAGGCTTTGAGTACTATTTTTAGTACTTTGTATTGGGTACAGCCCCAATGAGCTTATCATCCACCAGAAAGACACAATGATATCCCGCATTACAATATTAGTTTCCATCGTTGATAAACTAAACATACGTTTATGAATTCGTAATGTGTATCGCGGAGGCGTGGAGCCACGTCGACATGACTTTTAAAACATAATATTATGTGTCGACCACCAGTGTAAGCAAGTCCTGGAAACAGATGGTTTACAATTTCTTGTGGAAAACAAAAACGTTGTTTGGATTTGTGTAAATAACTTGTCTTCAAAACACATTCTGCAAACTCTGGTGTAAAATTAGACTCAGACTGCTGTGTCTATCGTGACTGTAGTGTGTTGTGTTTATCGCGGGCCCCCTTAAAATTAGTTCCATAATCAACATAGATATATAGGATATAGTTAATGGTTAATAAAAGTGTTATGAATTAAATCTTCTCCAAAGTTTTAAATCAATCAACCCAAACTTCGAGGATATTTCGAGTCCCAAACTTGAAAGTGGGACATCCAAAATAGGTAAGGAGAAATTATTTACGTTCAGGTGGTGAAGTGGGGGTAGTCACCTATCCTTAATGGGGCTAATGGTTGAATGTACTCGACTAATGGCATAACAAATGGCATGTGTAATACGGCTCTCCATTTTGGACGCCAGATTCCTCATAATGAGGTGTTTTGCGGCGGTTTTTCAACAGGAAATGATGATCCTACTCGCACTGTTTGTGTTTATAAAATACAGAGTTACCTCAAGAATGAGGACTAACATTAAAGTATCATTTGTTCTTGGGTTAAATGTAGGTTATTTAACCAAATTGCATAACTTGTACAGATGTTGAATTTTCCCGGTTTCAGAGACACTTAGGGTCAGGTTTTATAAATCTAGTATAATAATATTGTTCGAAATTCAAAAATACAAGAGATAATTTCTCTTCTATGTTTTATTTAAATTCACTGCGGTTGAATATTTGGTTGGAAATTTTAATCGTAGCTATTAATATTTAACAAAAAAACCTTATCATATTCCCTGTAGCAGAAAACGTAAGTACTTAAATTAATGTTATTTAAATAAGAAAAAAATCCGATTAACTTTAAGGGTATATTTTGGGAAGAATAAATCCGACCAGATAAATAGAAATTCGCTTAGTCATCAGGCACATGTACACTTGAACCCCCCATGGGACTTCCAACTGGGGTGGCAAGATCCACCGGGGAGTCTGGGGGTTCTCCACCAGGAAATTTTAAGAAGTTGGCTTTAAATTTGTTAGTTTTTATGCTTTTTCAAACTATTTTTACAAAAATTTTTATTTTTATGTCTGTGGCCCCTTGAGACCTGTGGCCCATAGGCAGTTGCCTATCGCGCCTAATGAGCAATCCACCACTGAATATATCCTTAAAAAAATATATAATTTAGTTGACTCAAACGTTACCTAAAAAACACACACATCAAATAAGATCTCATATCTTTCAAAAGGAAAGCAGTCTGCTTTTACTCAAAATGTTTAAAACATAACACAGGGTCATGCTATTCTAGTTTCAGTTAGTGAGTTGCTATAGCTCACAATAATTAAGTCATTCTATTAGTTAGAATTGTTAAAAAGATTATTGTGTATTGGACAGAAATAAGTAATTTAAGTCAGCACAATCTGTCGGTGGCTCACATGAACTACGACGATTTTGGTAAAAAGCTGGCTACAAATTTAACATGGGGATGGAATGTCTAGTTGTATTAATAGTTTAAGGTTATAGCCAAAAGACCAATGCACCTCCCAGTGACTGTATAGAGGGC